AAAAAAAAAAAAAAAACAGGAAAAACTTTGCAACTTAAATAAAATCTGGAAAGACCTTAAATCAAAAGCTATACCTTTCCAGACAGGAACACTGAAAATAACACGTCCTCATGCAATAACCTTTAGCCACCAGTCCTGTTTGTACATCTAAATAATGCAAATAAAAATTCAAACCATTTCAGAAAAGCATTTATTTTTTTCTTTCCCATGTAAAAAAATACATCAAGCTGAGGTTTTGCAATAACGGTTTGATAGACAGATTTTCTCCTCATTCTAAATAAAAAAAATAAGCAGATTAATTCAAAAGGACCCATCAATGTTTTCACATAAAGGAAATCAACAAGGCAGTTGGGGGGGTCAGATAGGGACACAGTCCTCAGATAAACCCAGATTGCAAACAATTCTACTTATCACTAAAAGTGGACATATTCACAATTAAATCTTAGATGCTTTTGTACTTCTGTATTTGATTGCAAAAAATATCTTAAAATTAGGCAAACAATGACTTTTAATCAGAGCAGCAAAACATAAGCTATTTGGTTCTACTTTTTCCAAATGCAGTGTCCCGAGGATAAACAAACTTATCAATGTTTTACAGAAATGTAGTACATGTAGACAATCAACTGCACTCCTTCAGCTGAAGTTTAATTTCTATTTCATGTTTAGAGGAAAATGCTTCTTTTTATTTGCTCCCATTTCCCCAAATATGTTGCATACAGCATATTGTTACTGAAACATTCCATTTTCTGTAGAAGTTTAAACCAACATTAGCTTCTCCAGCTGGAAAATGTCTGGGAACTCGACCTGAAAAACAAGTACAAAAAGAAAGAGAGTATAATGAGTTGTATAGCTGGAGCAGGAAATAGTGGTAGAATAATAGGACCAAGGAATTGCTTTAACATACAGAGGCCTTTTCCCTTTGCTGTTGTTCTTAGATTCTAAAGGGAAATGGTGAATTGTTAGACAAACTTAGATTCATTCAGCAGAATTGATACTTGGACATAAATACCTTGATTTGATAAAAAATAAATAAAAATACCTGCGTACACACAGCCCTAAACTTTAAGCTTAATCTATCTACTAAACACAGTGTTTTTATAAGTTGTCCAAAAAAAAAAACTTAAAAAAACCCCCAAAATATTGGAGGGAAAACATTTTCTCCAAAAGGTCACATATTTGTTGTTAAGGACTGTATTCCTGCATTAACTTAATTATTTAAAATATAAATTTGATAATGGATTGTAAATGTGAGTTTCTGCTGCCGTAGTCATAGCTACTGAGATCAGTGGTACATTTATCATTTTAGACTAATAAATTAAGATTGAGGACATTTTAATTCTAATTTTCTAATTCACTTTACTTGCTGCATTAAGGACAAATGGGAAAAATAATCAAATATTTAACTAAAAATATTAATTTTTCATAAAAAAAAAAAAAATGCACTGCAGTATATTTTGCTAATAGTATATTTTACCATCCTAGCACAAAATAAAAACTGTTTCATTCTTTGTTTTAAGCATGGAAAAACACCAGAGGGTGCTGATATGGCTACTTAAACATCAAAAGTAGTAATTACTTCTAAAAATATCTGGCTTTTAAATTAAAGCGACACATTTGAATTAGTTTGAGTTATGGCTTTTTATATTAAATTATATCAAACTTTCCATTAACCACCATTTGGTCAGTCTGGAACATCTGCAGGGAGTGATGCAGCCTAGAGGAGCTCCAATATAAAATGTGACTTTTTAATTCTATTAAATACACTGGGATCCATTGTAAAGAGCAGCGTTGAGTTAGTCAATTAAGAGAAAACATATTTCTCTTCATAGGAAAAAAAACTTTATGTCTGTTTTATGCATTTCTCAGAATAAAAACAGAAAAAAAAGCAGTTCTAGGATTTCTATCCGAAGGTGTCTGATGAGCTCAGACAATTCTCCACACAGAAATGTGTACTTTAGCGTGCAGATAAATGGAAGAGACCCCAGGGCAACACTGAGACATACAGCAGCATACAGAAGCAGAAACCAAAGACGGGATGAAAAGGCAGGAGATGCATTAGGATAGAAAAAGGACATCTAATGACTTCAGGCAACAGAACTGAAGAGTTCAGCTCCACAGACTTTAATGTACATTTATTACAACCAATACTCTACAATCTAACATGATCCAATATTTTATTCATTCAATGTCATGCTGTTATTTATATTCAGTGTCCAACTGAAAAGCTTCTATCAGTTTAGGGAGAAAGAAAACAAACAAAAAAAACTGTTCTGAATTAGAATGAAGAGACTGAGGAGAAAAACGATGAGGTAGGGGATTAACTAAATTAGGTTGGATGAGGAGATATTAAATCAGGAAGGTTTTACGAAGAGCAGTGGAAGATAAAGATGTGATCTCCTAAAGCCCACAGGCAAAGCACACAGATGTGTGGGGCTAACTGCTCTGCAGCGCATGCAGAAAACAAAATAAAACAAGAAACATTGACCACTTACTGGCTTCCAGACCCAAATGCATTTCCTGAGAATCCTATAAAAAAAAAAGAGAACGGATTTATGCAGTTAAAGACATATGTATATAAAACTCATTTATGAATAGCTAGCGTCAGCTAACACAGCAGCTTGTAAAGGAAAGCAAAGTGAAAGCTGATTTTAGTACATTAGAAATTATTTTCATGAGATTATGACACATTTTTCAGGTTAAAACTAAGCTTATTTCAGATGTCGTGTTTTAAAAATGTTCTTAGTCCTTTTTAGTGTTTACACAAGAGATAATCTATTTATGGGGGATAATTTTAAAGCCATCAGACTTTGATTAGGAAACCTTCACAAACCAAGGAGGGTGAGTGGCTAGATTGTTAGATTGATAAATCAATAGATGGATGGATGGAAAAAGAGAAGAATTAGGAGAAGGATAAAATGAAAAACTGAGGACAACCTAAACGGTATTCTACATGCTCTAATCTGATAAAAGTTGGTGGTTATCTCAAAAATGGATTTAACTTTTCCCCCAAAAATACAATTGAACAAAATAATTTTTTATTTTTAGATAAATGCCTGTATATCTAAGCAGTTACCCAAACCAACACACCATCAAACGGTAACTGTAGAATCTGCTCCTGGCATATAAAGAGGACGAGGGGAAAACACAACAGCAAATGAAATAGACGCCTCACCTCCAGTCTGTGGCTGCTGTCCAAAGCCTGAGAAGCTGCTGGGCTGACTTCCAAACGCATTGCCTTGCTGGGCCAAGTTGCCAAATGTAGGAGCACTTTGACTGGCCAGGGCGCCAAAGGAAGGGGCACTGGGGGGCGAAGAGAACCTGAAAACAGTGGCATTCACAGACAAACACTTATGGCTTAAATGAATTGGCACTAATGAAAACAAGACACAGTTTGAAGGATTAATGCATCTAGACAAAGACAAGTCCAACAATACACATCCTTGCTTGTAAAACTCAAAGCAAGCAAATCTGAAGTAAAATAGGGTTGCAAGGCTTTTGAATGTGGGATTGAAGGGGACGGGATTTGAACAGGATTTAATCTGTTCTACTGAAAACATCCCTATTGAGTCTGAAAAGAAAAAAAAGGAGCAAACAGCCAGAAGAAATGGAGAGAGCAGGCCAGTTTAATCTGCAGGCAGAATGACCCCAAAGTAGGATTATCTGAGGAGAATAATCTACCCCTGCAGAGATCCATAGTTTTGAGCTCAGAGTCAACCTCACCACGACAAAAACAAGACAGAAAAATAGCTTTATAAAGCTAAAAAACAAAATAAAACAAATAAATACAAAGAATAAAAACAATCAGTGATGACCAGATTAGATATTAAACCAGATTAGGGCTGAAACAATTAATTGTGATTAAGCAATTATTGAAATAATAGTCAACTGATTTAGTAATGGATTAATCATTTACTCGAGTATAGAGACTGTAGAACAAGCCTTTAGGTGACAGAGCGACCCACTTAGAGTAGTAATTATACCTGTAACTGTAAAAAGAAAATATATAAACATTTTGCATTTTGCAAGATAAATTCTTTTTCATCTGTCAATATACTCTATCCAGAACTCAAGTGGAAAAGTTTTTGTTTCATCTGGTTTAATTTTGCAAAAATTCTTCTTTAAGAAACCTTTGGCTAATCAATTATTAATCGAATAATTGGAAAAAAAATTGACAGATTAATTGATTTGTCAAATAATCATTAGTTGCAGCGCTAAACCAGATTATACCTTTGCCCTCGTGTTCAAATTTCTTTTTGGCATTTTGGAGAACAGCTCTAGAGACGGATTGAACTACAATGGGAGTTATTTACTTTGAAATAATTCTAAGAATTTTATTTTGAAAATTGCTTACAACAATCCCAGCGCTTTAAAGTGCCTTTGTCACATCACAAGTACACATTCAATATGTTTGGTGGGATTCTAGATTAGTGTTAGTGCAAAATGGAGGTAATTGTTACTGAAGGCAATGTGGAGAAGGATTGAGCTAGAATTGGAGCAAAGCTAAAAGGAAACTTGTTTGAAGCAGCAGAAACATGAGACTGGGAGAAAAGTTTTCCTTCCATCAACAGTCAGCTTCAATAGAATGACTCAGACTCAGGATCAGAGCAGTTTTATGTGTTAAAATGGACCAGGCCTAAATCTAGTTAGACATCGCCGGTAAGAAGAGTCAATAGCCGATGTTTGCAGATATAAAACACCAAAGCTGACCTGGTTTGTTAAGAGGAACCCAGTCCTTTGAGAGACATCCAATGCTCAGAAATGCCAATAGGGAATTTTTACAGAAAAATAAAATTTTTCATCTTTACTGTCCATATTTTTCACAAAGTTAGGCTTTATTGTTGGTCTAAGTGGGTTGTTCTTTCAGCAAACAGTATGTTTCTCTGGAGAATATACCGCAGTTGATGATCATTCAATGACTAAATTTCTGGAAAAATATTTGAGAAATTAATAAGATCTTTGTTTTAGCCTCAGAAAGACAATAAAACACTTTGATGCAGAGAGATGTAGTATTAGACCTGGTAAGTGTTTCTTAGCCTCAGACTCAAATAATACTCCATCTAATATGACAGTTTAGTTTGTTTGATAATTGATCTTGTCACTTGAATTAGACTGAGCAAACAAATATGCTCAGATTTTCAAAGATGCTGCATTGTGCTTCAGGCAATATTCTGCTGCTACTGCTTTTTTATCTCAAGTAGTCGGGTAACACTGACACCTGCAAACTGTTTGAAACCGCAGCTATAGAATGACTGCAGGACTGTATCCAATGCAGCATATACGTTTTCTAAGTTAAAGCTCTTTGTTGTACAATAGAGAATATATCCAAAACATTAAACTTTCTGCGTTCCTGTTTTTCATATTTTGGAGTCCAATACAGATAAAGACTCTTACCCAAATCCTCCCATGTTGGCAGCTGCTGTTCCCTCTCCAAACACTTTACCAGTTGAGGAAGTCATCGGACTGCTGAAAGCTGGGTTTGCGCCAAATGATGCTGTGCCACCAAATGCTGGGGAACCACCAAAAGAAGGGGGACTTCCAAACACTGGACCACTGCCGAACCCCCCTGCATAAAAGAAACACATTAGTGAGCTCTAAATCAGGTCATAGGAAACCAAAATAGGATTTACACAAAAAAAAAATTATCATATGCATCTAAATAGGCTTAAATGAGTGAAAAACCACGTCGCCTTAAGAGAAGTGACATTTAGTTAGGAGAACGCCTACAGCTGCAAAGCAAAACATTCTTATAACTTCTATACAGGATAAATAGTTTACACCTAATTCGATGCTTCTGAGCAGCGGGCGGAGGGGGCTGCACTGAAATTACAGCCGGGCCAGCAGCACGCCCCAGTAAATAATTGATTGAGCTAACATAAAGAGATTATATTCCCCTTAAAAATGCCAGAGGTAGGACATTAATGTGCTGAGCAATACCTGGATCCTACTGGAGCTGAGCAATGGCTGATAACCCAGCAAGAGCTTATTAGTTTAAAAAATAATAATAAATAAATACCCCACACATATAAAACTTTTTAATTTCATATTCCTAACAGCAGTTTGAAATATGATTCTATTTATTTTAACAGTCCAAAATAAATATAAAAAACACATTTTGTTTCTTTAGACTCAATCTGCTCTAAAGTGTAAGAATAGTTGTAATATTACAGGCCATTGGCCAGATCCAACATAAAATATGTGGATCTAGATTAGATTGGAAATGTAGTGGTCTCCAAGATCAATATGTGGCTTTTTGTGAATATTAGAACCCGACTGAGGAAAATGGCTTTGTTTGTATAGTTTGGGGATCTTTAAAGTGGCTGCGGTAAGTAAACAATCATATAGAATTGCTTCTCCACAGAGATTGAAATTTGAAGATTTCTAAGTTTATTTTTAACTAGGGCTGCAACTAACGTTTATTTTGCAGATCAATTAAATGTTGATTATTTTTTCAACTAATCGATTAATATTTGGATAGCGAAAGGTTCCTTAAAGAAGATTTTAAAAGAAATTAAACCAGAGGAAACAAACATTTCCACCTAAGGAGTTCTGGATTGAGTGTATTGATGGATAAAAAATGTTTTATCTTAAATGCAAAATGTTTATAAATGTATAATTACTGCTCTAAGTGGAGGCTCTGTCAGCTAAAGGCATGTTTTAAAGTCTCTATACGCCTGTTAATGATCAATCGATTACTCAATAAGTCGATGATTATTTCAATAATCGATTCAATTGTTTCAGACCTATATTTAAAATTTTAATTTAGGTTGCAGTGTCAACCTTTCAGAGACCAGAACAGAGATGATAAACAAAGAATGACAGAAAGACAGAAACATGGTAAATCTGCAAAGCTGCTACACAGAGAGGCGGAAGCTAAATAAGGACTTAAAATACAGAAAACCTGCTCAAAAATAAAAAAATACCACTTTAATCAGCACAGGGATTTTAGAGAGAAAGCATCAAGTCTGAGGAATGACCTCCTGGGTGCTACCAAAAAATAAAAAATATATAAATTACTTGTAGATAACTTGAAAGCTAACGGGATTACTGAGAAGTTAATAAGATGAAAACCATAATTTGTATGCAAGCACTTTTATGCTAAATATTTTACATGTGTAGCATTCAGTTTGAGCCTCTGCATGAGTTATAAAGTACTGAATTCCTGCTGATCAGAATCACGTTGTTTAATTGATAGCATGAAAGTTCAAATCTAAATCACTTTTTATCATTTTACATTTTAAAACCTTAAAATATTGATTATATATTATATATATTATATATTATTATAATATTATTAATTAATTTGCTAATTTGCTTATCAGAAGGAGGAGCCCTTCCGATAAGCAAATTTGATAAGTATTGAAAAGCCATCATGTTAGAAAAGTTCACTCTTTAAGGTACCTCTTGGATTTATTAAATAAATAATTTCAAAATATTTGAAATATTTGCAGTTTAATATATTTTTTCTAGAATGGCCTTTTTTTGTTTCTCCAGATTCTCAGTATTTTTATTTCACACATCAAACAGAGCTTGTATCTGACAGAGTATGTCAAGAAACCAAAATGGTAAAATCCCATCATCAGAGCACATGGATAAAAAAACGGCTACAGGAAACAACTTTGAATCATTAATTCTGCTCTGAACAATGACAACAGCCCATGCCTTTTATTCTGTAATATCACTGTAAGAGTTGTCAAAAATGGAATGACAAAAAAAACATCAAGAGTAAATGTGGATTATTTTAAAAAGATTGAAAACTGAGACATTTGTTAAATCCCTAAAAAAGTTATAGAGCTTTACTTGCCTGATTAGCAGTTAAGAAACCCAGGACCAATTCAACTTAATATTTTCTCTTTATATAAAAACAAATGACTTGTGTGTTTTATGTTAAAATCACTGTAATTTGGTAAAGCAAATATAAATCATGTCAATTCACCATAAAAAGTAAAACCACAGGAATTTGATTTAGGTCAAGAAGAATTGTTAAAACTGTGTAGGATCGGATTAGTAAAATTCATTTAAAACCTTTAACTACCTGGTTTAGTTGGTGAGGAAAAGGAACCAAAGCCCTGGGATGCAACACTCCCTGCTCCAGTGGTGAAAGTCCCACTGGCTTTCTGTTCCCCGAAGGTTGACGTGTTGAACCCAAATGTCTTTGCACCACTGTTCCCAAAGAGACTATTAGATCCTAGAGAGGAAATCGACAACGGAAACTAAGTCAGTGAAACAGCTCAGGCACATGTTTTGAGAATAAAAAACCCAAAACAATGAGAAAGGCAGAAAAAAACCTACCAGGCTGAGCAACCTGTCCAAATGCTCCAGTTGAAGCTGTGGTACCAAACGGATTCTTGTTAGCAGCATCCTCACTTGGTTTACCCCCGAGGCCGCTAAAAAATCCTCCACTGGATGAACCTGCTGTATTGGCTGCACTGGAACCAAACAAACCTCCCCCAGATGTTTGCTGCAGATTGGATGAAGAAAATAAAGAAAGGCATTTATCCTCTTAGATTTTACATTTCAAGAAAACAGATTTTGCAGTTAGTTTAAGTAATTAATGATACCTGTCCAAATACACTCCCATTTGAAGATTGTTGGCCAAATACAGGGGTGGCAGCAGAGCAACCAAATCCTGGGACAAAAACACATACCAGTTATCTCACAAAAAGAATGAAATAAAACTAAAATTTTTATCAAATTAGTTTGCAGAGGGTCATAAAGAGCTTTCGTGATCTGGCAGGGGGGTACAAGAATAATTACATGCATTAAAGGATAGTTAACAGAGCTTTTTCTTCCTTGTGTAAACTGTAGTGACAAACAAGGCAGTGTCTAAGAAACCGGGTTCTGCTCAGACTTACCTGAGGGCTGACCAAAACCGAATCCCGAAGAAGAGGATGTGGTGGTGTTACTCCCAAAAACGGATGGCTGTCCAAATCCAGAACTCTGACCAAATACAGGAGGCGTGCTTTGTTTGAAGAGCCCAGATCCAGTACTGCTGGCCGTATTGGCACTTGCACTGCCAAAGGAGAACGAACTTGCACTGCTAGGGGTAACCGCCCCGAAAAGACCTGGTCCTCCGGTCGTTGCACTGCTAGAACTTGCTCCAAATGCAGACTGGGTAAAAGAAAAGCCGCTAGATGATCCAGCGCTGCTTGCAGGTTGGCCGAAGCCACTCGCCTGGCCAAAGACGGATTTGTTAAAAGTTGCTCCAGCTGAAGCACCAAATGCAGATGAGCCAAATCCTGTTGCTGCAGGGGCCGAGGAGGCAGGAGGTGCAGCCGGTTGCCCAAAGATAGTGTTGGCAACAGTAGTTTGTGCTGTGGACACTGTTGCAGGAGTGGTAGTGGTGGCTGCAGGGACAGCAGTGTTGATGATTAGAGTGGCTCCAATGGAGCTGCTGTTTGTCGTTACAGGAGCAGGCTGAGTGAAAATGGACCCTGGTTTTTCAGAGGCAGGCACCTGGAAAGCTGGGGGGGCTTCCTGGGAGACTGATGGGGCGCTGGGAACAACCAAACTGGAATCAGGAGGAGTGGATGAGGGAACTGGAGTGGCTTCTGTTGTGGAAGGCACACTGGAAGGTGGAGGAGGGGTTGCTTCAGCTGGTGCAACACTGGTAGAAGAAAGGTCCTGGGTAGGGGCAGTTATCACAGAAGGAAGTGCAGGTGTGGATGGATTGGATGTAGAATCCACTGCAGGCTCAGGAGCAACAGGGCGACTGGTACTTTGCTCAGATGGTTCAGTGGTGACCGGATCTTTTTCAGGGGGTGGGGTAGGTTCTGAAAGCTGTGGGGGAGCTTTTGATTCCTCTGAAGGCACGGTGAGAAGGCTACTGAAAGATGAAGGTAAGAGTGAAGGTGCAGAGCTGGATGGGGGGAGAGAGAAAGCTGGCTTGGAGTTTGTTTCAGGAGGTTTGAACAAACTGTTTGATGAGGCACCCTTAGACAAATCTGTAGTTGCAGAACCTTCAGCAGACTTTGGGAGACCTGACCCAAAGCTGAAGGCTTGTACTCCCTTGCCATTGCCGAGTCCAGTTTCTCCAAAGGTGAATGCAGCAGCTGGCTTTGTTCCAGAATCTTTGACCTCTTCTCCTTGACCAACACGCAGCCCAGAAAAACTGCCGAGGGTTTCTCCTCCTGAGGTCTTTGGTGGCTGTGACTCTGTCTTGAAGGCCGTGGACAGAGGGCCGTGTTTGGCCACTTCCCCTGATGTGCTTAAATTCAGTGTGGGAGACCCAGTGCCAGTACCAGAAGCTGCAGACTTTGGGGTAAGAGAGAACGGCTCTTCTCCAGTCTGACCCAACGTCATCTTGCCATTTCCGCCAAAAGAGAATTTATTTGAATCCTTAACTGTCGAGAAAGAAAATGAGAAAATAAATAAACTATGTTGACATGGTAAGCTACTCCATAATTCTGCTGGACAGTGAAATAGTTGTACCTTGTGTGAGTCCAGCTTGTGGGGCAGGTGTAAAGTTAAAGCCTGTTGACCTGTGAAAACAGCAAAGTTTATTACAAAAAAATTAATAATATAATTGTTGTATTAAATAAAAAAACTGCTCAGGAAATAGTAACTAAAAGATATTTTAAGAAAAAAGTTTTAAGACTGATGTAATGTTTTTCTTACATTACTACTTTCCCTAGCAAAAAACACAATAGAAACTATTATATTTTACATTATTTCACTAAAGCAACACAAAAGAACCTTTAAAATTAAACAATGAGAATGTATTTAACTAGACAACAGTAGATCACCTCGAAGTTTTTTTTTTCCTCATTAATGAAGTTAACTTACCCTGGTGTGAAGGAGAATGGCTTGTTGTTGCTTTGTTCCACAGAACTAGTTGGAACAGAGATGTCTGTTTTGGATGGTTGACCTTCAGGAACAAAGATCATATTTAAAGTAAAGTCAGAAACTCAACAAAGTCACAACCAAGGACAATGAAAAGAAAATGAATCATTACAACAATTAAGATTAAGAGAGCAAATATGTGACAAGAATATGACAATGGGGCTGACGTTTTTAAGTAATTAGACTGCACTTTTGAACCTTGCTTCAAATGTTCATACTAAACGATCCAACACTTACCAAAAACAAAGCCTGGCTGTAGACTGGATGCAGTTTCAGCAGAGACCTTAGGGATCCCCGGGGTGGTAGTCTACAAGGATACAATGAAATGCCATCAAAATGTGAAAACATCATGTTATCCACAGATAACGGGATATTTGAACACTTTCACATATTCTTTACTAGAGGCATTGAAATGCTTTATTGTATATATATAAATAAAAGTGTTTGGTTTTATTCTGCTTGAGTTTTTTGGAGATTTTTGGAGTACAAGCACAATTGTGTGAAGGTCCACTGAGTCGATCAAATGCCATTTGTAGCATAACTATGAGAGAAACCTGAGACATTTCTCCCCCATGCAAAAAAGTTCAAGGTTTTTTCCCCACATGTAGTGCAGACTAAAGGCACAAGAATACAAATTTAAAATTATTTGACAAGCTTGACTTTTTTATTCAACAGTACTGCAACTGAAAAACATACCAACGCTACTGGCTTACGGCAAACAGAAGTACTTTTCAAGCGACTAATTAAATCTGAAAAATGTTTATTTTAAATATATTTCATTGTGTGACTGGTATTGGGCCTCATTTTAGTAAAAAACTAAAGTTGCGGGGAGACCTCCGCTTATACTCACTCGTTTGACTTGGTTGGAAAAGACTTGATTTGTGAAATCGGGTACAGAAGAGCTGGGGAGAAAAAGAAAAGATGGAAAATACTGTTTAAACATAAATGTTCCAGAGCTGTTTTTGACAAGTAAATATTTAAAAGCTAAACATAATATATAGTCTTTCTTTATAGGTCTGCTTCGACAAAGGCAGCACAGAAACAAAATATTAGTTTGTCATTTTTAAATGAAAGGAAATCAAGAAAAAGTGTCCTGCTGACCCAAAACATAAGTTCAGAATTTATTCTAAAACTGCTTTCTGCCCATTAATAGATGAACAATCCTTCTGTTCATGGTCAACCAGGCCAGTGTCACTCAAAATGACATTATGAATTGAGAAAGCTTCCTGGATGGGAAGCGAAATGTCTTCAAACCACAGTCTTTTTAAAATAAAAATTCCATTATTTTAGTTAAATCTTTCAATATGACTAACTATTTATTTTGTTGTGTATTTTCTGATTTTTGTGAATACTTATTTATATTTTCCAGGCTCTCATTTAGATTTATTTATTTCCCTTGTCCTACCCAAGTGTTTTCATTTTTCAACCGCCTCTTTTATTAAAGTTTTTTTGTACAAATGCTTGACACTGCTACCTGGAACACCAAGTTTTTGTATTTTGTTTTGTTTTTTCAGCCCTCCCTGTATTACCAAGTAAACAATCCTAACTTGTTGAATGATTGGCATCTACCTGACGATGGAAGAAACAGGAGGCCCCTTTTCCTTGAGCTCTTGAACATTGACCACTTGAGGAACAGTCTTTAAGGTGGACTCTGTCAAGGTACTACCAACAGGAGCTGAAACACAAATGGAAGAATTTTACAGGATAAACCTCCACAAGGTTTTTTAAATTTAAACAAAAAAAAAAAAATAGAGAGTTAAATGTTCTAAATATTTATATGGTGATTAATTATTAGTGGAAAAAAGGAAATATGGCTGGACATGTTTCAGTTATTAAGGGATGAGATGCAAAGCAGTTTCATTTATTTTCTTTTTCTACGAGTCATCGTCTCCCCCTAGTGAGTTATAATAGGTATTGCAATATTATTGAAAAGATTTTCAATTAAAATGAAAAATGTCCATCACAAATCCTCTCATACATAATCATAGATGGACAGGAAAATATTAAGAATTTAAAGTAAGCAAGCATCAGTGTTGAAAAGACTTTGAACAAATCCAGCAACCATTTAACCCATCAAATCCCAGTTGATGTGTCAACAGCCTCTACATCAAGGCATTCATGCTACTTCTGAAACTGTCCTGCATTTCTTTTTTGGGTCTCATTACCCTCAGAAAAATGACAAAATCTAATAATACTGGCAGATACACCCCCCCAAAATTTTTTTGAAGCTAAACCACTAAAATCCTTTTCCATACCACTATATTCATACTCATTCAGTAACATGTACACAATGCACTCTTATAAATCAGTCAATATTAATGCACTGATATTTTTAGTACAGAAACAATGTTAGGCATGACACATGATCAATAACAGGCATCATACATGTACTGCGCAGTTAAAATCCGAAAAACATGATTTTTTTCATGACCTAGGACTACATAAATAACCCTGAATAGATTTGGGTTAAAATATCAAAAGCCATAAGCTAAAGCTAATTAACGAGTAATCATGTGAAAGAGATGCCAGTTTATTTGGTACACAAATCAGTATTATACTATAACTACCACTATTAGTTGTGAATCCTGTCCAAACATGTTCAAGCTGCATGTCCAAGACAAGAAGCTTGAACCATAAACAGAGACCTAATGCCAGAGAGAGTGGTGCTAGTTGGAGAGAAACAAACTTTTCAACACTAATATATTTAAATGCCAGCCATCTGACAAGGAGTGCAGTTCAGAATCGTCGATTCAAACAACAGCGGTCTCATTTAATACAAATCACTAAACATCGTATGACATAAAAGTTAGAGATTTTTCCTACCCGTCTTCTGGGTTGCCATTTGCCTGCGCATAGCTGCACTGGCTGCAGCCTGCTGGGCAGACATGGTGACAGGAACAGTTCTCCCAGTGGGAGGAGCGCCATGTTTTACCGTCTTTGTGGCAAGAGCAGTGCTTTCAGCGCCACTGAGGTTGATCATATTGGTAGGAACTAAACCATAAAAGCATCACATAGGGATACAGAAGTTTCTGTGTTAGAAGCTACACTCTTATTTAAAAATTACATTTCCTGTCTGCAAATATTTGTTTCAACAATTTGAATTCAATGAACCAGATTAGCAGGCAGTAATTTTCTTACCTGGACTTGGAATAGGACTGAGTCCAAATCCCAAAGTTGGTGCAGAGTGGATTTTTGGTAGAGGGGTGGACTGAATGCCTCCAAAGCCTGGTTGGATAGAAGGGGTCCTGACAACTGTAGGGTGGCGAGGAGTGGATAACGTCATAGCAGGGGGTTGTAGTGGTTTTAATTCTTCCTCTTCCTGGTCCAAATGAGATGGGTGAGGCTCCAAGGACTGGGACAGGGATGACGTTGAGCTTGCATCATCCAGGTCCTCGTAGTATTTGGGCGAAAGGAATGCTGAACGAGACAGGTTGGCTGAAATGTGGAAAAAAATTGTAGTTAAAATAATGGGACATTGGGACAAAATTGTATTTAGTCAGATACTGATTGTCCAAGTTCTCCTATTTGAAAAGATAATAGGTCTGTAATTGTCATCATAGGTTCACTCTAACTACGAGACAAAACGTGCAAAAAAAAAGGAAAACAAAAAAGTAAACAAAACAATAGCAGCAGATCACATTGTAGGATTTTTAGTCAATAACAAAAAGTTCAACTCGATACTTCGTAGCAAAATGTTTGCTGTCAATGACAGAGGTCAAACTTCACCAGGTTTACAGACACCGTAACTCTTATTTTGGCCCATCCCTCCAGGCAAATCTCCTCCAGAGTAGTAATATTTTATGGCTGTTGCTGGGTAACAGAGTTTTGACTCCATCCATAAATGTTGAATAGGTTTGAGGAGACTGGCTATGCCACTCGAGAAACTTGAAATGCTTTTTAGCAAAGCCTGCCCAAGTGCTATGTTTGGGATCATTGTCATGCTGGAACATCCAACCACGTTCCATCTTCAGTCCTCTTACTGATAGATGGAAGTTTTGTCTTTAAATCCCATGTTAAATGACCCAGCTCATTCTTCCCTTTACACAATTAGTCATCCTGTCCTATTTGCAGCCCCAAAAGCCCCAAAGCATGATGTTTCCACCCCCATGCCTCACAGTAGGCACGGTACTCTTGGGATAACTCAACACAAGTTATTTTGGTTTCATCTGACCTCATGATATTCTCCCAACCCTTTTCTGGACCAACCATATTCTCAGACAGGCAGGGACATGTCTTCGCTTAAGCGGGGGGGAATGTCTGGCAATGCGGGATTAGAGTCCTTCTTAGCATAGTCTGTCACTGATGGTAGCCTTTGTTACTTTGCTCCCAGCTCTCGGCAGGTCAATCATCAGGTCTCTCTGTAGTTGTGGTATTTTTTCTTGCGTGAGGTCCCACATGGTCTTTGTATGTTTTGATCCCACTGTTGATTTTTTCACACAAACCTGTTGCCTATTGCCTAACCGGGCAGAAACACCATTTGTTAAAGATAGGAGACGCTTTATCTCTCCGGTTATTTTCCCTGAAAAGAGATTACTCGGGACAAACTCTTTGAATAGCACTTCATAACTTATATGTATTAAATAATCAGGAGACATGACAACAGATTCTGATAGAAATTGTAATCTTACTCGGACCAGAGAAATTGCTTAGAGTTTACCAAATGGCAGCTGCTCACCTCCAGGTTAATCTCTCAGGAAGTTAAAAAGGATTTTTGTACATCTTCCGTCTGCCACATCATCATATTTTACATCATGCACCTTAGCAGATGATTAGACATCCATGATCTAGCCTTATCAATATATTACACTTAGCTGAAGGACAGCGCTCTCATTCCATTTCCAAATCTTTGCCACGTACAAAATGAAGATAACAACTCTGTATCCAGACAGAGGAACTGTCTTAATTAGAACTATTGTAGAAAAAAATCACTTCTGACAAGCAACAGGCAGCCAATACCAAGGTGCCATAAACTCACACATCTTCATTGATAATTATCCTAACAAGATTCACTCTTCCCAGCCTGGTGCATGACTGTAATTCTCTTCCTGGTTTCCTTTGACAGCTCTTTGGTATTGGCTATGGTTATGTTTATAATCTGAATGTTTGGGCTATGGAGAGTTGTTATTTACACAGATAATGAACAGCTGACATTTATGCAGGCTACAACGAGGGAAGAGCTTCTTCAAGAAGTTACAGGTCAGTGAGGGCCATACATCTTATTTGTTTGTGGATGACCCAATACATATTTTCCACCATAATTTAAGAATGAATCCTACAATGTGATTTCCTTTATTTTTATATCTCATTCCATCTCTTATAGTTAAAATGGACCCATGATAAAAATCACATAACTAAAAATATTAGTTGCTGACTAAATACTTTTTTGCTCTACTTTATTCCTTTACTTAAACATGTTTGTAAATTATTTCTCCTCATACTGAGTGTATATACCAGTTTGTTCAAACTTAAACTTACTGTGTATGGCAAAGATAATGTATTCTAAAGTGGTACGCAACATTAAAATATAGTACCTGGTGCAGTTGAGCGCACAGGCGGCATCTGCCCTTTTGAGAGGAAATTGCGAAGTTGGGATTGTTTAACTGGTGATATCTTGACTGCTGAAAAAAACAAAAAAAAAAACATTTAAATGTTGCCGTTTTAAAAATCAAATATTATTCATTACTTTATTTTACAAGAATATGGCAAACACCTGAAGGTTTGGCTTTCGTCTTAGGGGGAGAAACATCCAGCCGGGCTTTTAGGAGGGCATCCTTTAAATTCTCAAGCTCTCTTCCAAAACTGACAAAACAAGACACAAAAAATGAGATGATATATAGATACAATTATTGTTCGTTAAAAATAGAAAACATTTCTGCATACACAGTTTTAACAACACCGGGCTGAAAAAAAAAAAAAAAAAGGTATCAAGCTGAAAGCGTTGTTCATAAAACAGTAATAAAAATTTGTAAAGATATTTTGAAGAAAAAAAAAAGGTTCAGTACTGCCATTATTTCAGTGCTACTGAAGTTATTCGTTCATTTCTGGCGTAATTCAAGGGTTAGAATATACATATATTTTTAAACTTCCACATTAGTTGGTTATTTGCCAAAATCTGGTGAAACTGCAAAATAAATCTTTAAACTTAACAGCAAATCTTACGTACAGCAGAGCCCAAAACTAACTACCCCATGCATATAAGTAAACATAGTCTTTTACTACTTCTATGCTTGCTTGTCATACTTTGAGAGATGTGGTCTCATTTCCCAAGAAAAACTGACTACTTGGTTAAATAAATATCATTTGGATTTGAAATCTGTCACTGTAATGAGCAATGTTGGTCCCAACTGTAAATAACGAAAGAATTTGAGAAAATATTTTTTTAATCAGAGATTAAGAAAACATTTGGTCCATATTTTAGACCTTATTTTGGAGACTGACAACAGATGAACTCTTAGAAGTCTCATCTGAAAATTGTCCATTTAATGTAAAAACGCATAAATTGCAAAAAAAGAAAATAAGGATTTCGTTTTAGTAGTTATTTTCTAAAGCCTTTATAAGCGAAAGCAACAAAATGGACATTGTTATATAGTGAGTTATATGCAAAAAAATGCAGGTAGTTTTTAGGAGAAAAAAAAGGAGAAATTAAGTCATCAGTCTTTTACCTTAGGTAACAATAAGTCATTTTAAAAAATTTAAATTTATATCTACAGTGAAAATAGTTTGGAAACAAAAACCTTTTCATTCTCTATTAACTTTTTCTTGACCCTCATCCGAACCTGGAAATGTACTAAGAAAAAAATTCTAAAAATATTAAACACTGAATGTATTTATGAAAGCGATAAATGAAAGCACAAGATCAAGAAGTTCTACAAATATAATTCTGCATTCAACATTTTACCAACCTATCTGTAGAGCCACTTGCAATGCTCTGGTTGATGGCAGAAGATGTACTTTTACTGTAAAGGCGCAGCGATGTGAGTTCCTGAATAAGCTGTTCCAACCGTTTTTTTTGCTGGTTGATGATGTACAGGTTGTTGGACAGAGTAGTAAACAAACCCTCACGGCCAGGCACAACCATGTGTCTGTCAAGAAACAGAAGCAAAGGCAATATTCTCAGTTCTAGAAAGATCTAAAATGCTGAAGGGATCATGTGTATTCTTTATTTGTGCTATTCTCACTTCTGTTTCTTCTTTCTCTCCAGGTGTTTTTCCCATTCCACATCTAAGACATCATTAACATCTTCCACAGCAAACATGACATACTGGTAAAGTATGCGAATCTCCTAAATTGGAAATCATAATATATTTTAGGGGCATAGCAGTTTACTTACATAACGCATAAATATTTCTCAATACTGTAACTGCAGCATGAGTTCATTTCTCCTTCCAGGTCTCACCTTGAGCTGTTCTTCACTCCGTGGATCCAGAGGTTTTTTGTAGAGCAGTTGTCTGTAATTCCTGTCCTTGCTCAGCTCACTCTGAGTTTTGGCTTCTTCTGCCCCGGCAAAACCCTCCAGTAAATTGGTCTTCAAAGTGCCAATGTCCCCATGGAGAGACTTTTATATAACAAGGAAGAAAGATTTTGACTACAGGATTCTTTTTTTCATTTTCTTTGTATTCACTTAGTCTCAAATGTAAAATGTTATAAAAGGGAATGACTGAAAAATTAACCCATTAGAGTCCTAGCAGTGCTTCATTTTACAATTAATAATCAAAGGTGTTAGAAAATGCTTTGATTTTAAGTGAAAGAAATATTCTCAAGGTTCTTTTCCCACATTAAAACCAAAGAGTCAAACTACGCTTTCAATTAAGTATTTTCTCTAATAGCAGGATCAAAAATGACAAAAATACCTCTGAATTTTGCTTTTGTGTAATAACTTTGTGCCAGAGCTTGTAGCTTAAACTTCAGTGTTTTTCTTAAGCAGTACATTTTTATTAAATGCGGTGTTACCTCTGTGGTTTCTTTGATTTCCAGGGTGAAGATGTGGAGGTCTTCTGATTCTTTTCTCAGCTCCTTCATCTTGTCATTACTACCAACCTTGAAGTCGGCTTTAACACTGCGAGCCTTAAGGTCATCTAACTCTTTCTGGAAGTGTGCAATCTGAGGGCAAGCCAAAAACCTCTAGTTAATACACTGTTGAAGGGCATCTTTTTCAAACTTCATTTAGGTCTGGAAAATGTTATCACAAAAAAATATCTTTATAACATACAGGAGTATAAAAAAATGTTTTACAGATGATGTTTCTAAAAACCTTTTGAGTCTAGACCACTTTATAAGCAGTTTATATTATCTAAGAGCTGAAAGAAAAAAAGTGGAAGATAGAGTAGTTTTTATGCACATGTTTTATGGAAGACATTAGCAGTGATGAAAGAGAGGCATATATTTTTTGTCCGTAATGCACACCTTTTTATGCTTCAAGCTAATTTTTAAATTGCTCTATTAATCCTTTATAGAGCAAGTCGATGTTTTTTGTTCACTGGCAAGCCCCTTACAAATGGAGCCCCCCCATCCCTCAGTGAGATCTAGAAGCACAAGACTTGTATCCAACTATTCAGCAAAGATACTGCTATGTGGAGGTACACGTCATTCTGGCATCTGGCAATTAGATGGGTCCTTGGATGATGTTAACTACTGTAAATTAAGTTGACAAGTTAACAAGTTAAAAAGGTAAAAAGCTAAATGAAAAATTTAACAACTAAGATAGAAATTAAAAAGTGCAAGTCACTGTATCAGCATTAATGCTCTAAGGTTATGTTCTAACAAAATATTTTGTTTCTTTCACTGAGTTTTTTATATGAATTCCTAATCAAAGGACTTTTGTTATTGTATTTATTTTTTTTACATATTAGTATTTAAGTGACAGTTCCTTGCAATTACATTGGTCTTGCTTTTTTTTCTTCTTTTTTTTAAATGTTACAAAAATAATAAGGTCTCGTCCTACCCTCCAATGACAAAGTATTTTACTGAGTGCCCTTTAAGGGTTAATCCACTGTTGGGTAAATTCAGATTTTATCTTCTAGCACTCTACTCAAATGATGCAATTTGCTTTGAAATAACTACAGTTGTAAATTTAATGGAGGTGCAGAGTGTTCCCGTCTAATATTGTTGACATAATCAGTGTTTTTAATTGGTAGATTACTAACCATTCTGAATGGGTCATATTTTTAAAAGCTTTATGGGTATCTAATGTTTTTCACCAACATACTAACAGGCGGTTATAGTCTACTTAGCCTAGTCATTAAATAAATGTGATGGGTACCCACTGTTATTTTTTCCATGAAATATTTAGCTCCACTGAAAACGTCAGGCTGGGTTTGACTTTTACAGGATTACCTAATTATTTAGGGAAAAATGTAACACAAAATAACAAAGTCAATGCTGAACACCTCTTACCTCCTCCAAAATACCAGTCATAATTGGATCTGTTTCTTTCTTCTGCTGTTTTTCCAGGTTCTTCATGCCGACGGATCCCTAAATTAGAATATCGAAAAATGATGATTTAAAGCATCTTGCTTCCACAACTTAAGAGAGCACAACAGATGGAGTAAAAACAAATATATAATATAGCTACATTTTTCTTACTAACAGTCAACCTTTGTTGCTAGTGGCAACCACTGAAATCAAGGTTTTATATCAGTTGAGCCCGCTGTTTGCTGATAATTATATATCTAGTAAAATTCACTTCAATGATCAGAAATTGATCAATAAGAATAAAAAATGCATTAAAAAAACATCCCTGTTTATCGTTTTACCTTCTGAAATGCAAGATTGGATTTTTGTTGGGTAAAGAAAAAAAAAACACAGTCTTTCTACATGTTTATACTGAGCTGATGAGTCTTACTAGTAATAAACTGAACATGAATATTTTACAGTAAATTAAAATAGCAGAAACATCAGACAACCCTATTTACAACTGCTTTTTGTTTTCTTTTTTTTATTATTATTATTTTTTTTTTATAATCAGTCTAAATAAGAATGAAACAGCAAAAGCACATACATAACAGTGAAAATTTCTCATCCATAGGGTTTAAATTAAATTACTTTTATTGCTAAAGGAAGAAGCGATGGAGCGATGTAACACTACAAGGCAGTGTTCCACCTCCCCCACCTGTTGCTGTACACCGCAGCCGACAGCTGGCTCAAGGGAGCTATTCTATTTATTTTATGATTACAATTGATTAAGGCAGTCAAGGCTTAGAAACCAAAACACATGGCATCTATCCATCTTATTCTGGGGATGCAGTTTTAAAAATACAGCTGTAAAGCTTTAGGGTGCATTGGGTCCGTCCTGAAACATGACCCAATGCACAGACCTTTTAAATCAAATGATTTTCACAGATATATAAAACTGAAAAGCTAAGCAACAATTATATGGATAATACTAACTAAATTTAGCAAGTTTTATATTTCTATTCAAGTAAAAAAGGCTAAATAATCAAAGCTAATCAAAGCAAACACAGGTTGACACATAATTAAAAAACCTAAAAGCTACAAAACTAAAGACTATAAAACACAAAGGCATAGGAATAGAAAATTACAACAAAATTACAAAAAGCAAAAAAAGTGCCTCATGGTTACCAAAAAAGCAACTTGTCAATGTGTCATTTAAGAAGCGGTAGAAATATATATTTTTATAGATTCAATACAGTATTTTTCGTCTAAGAACTCCTAATTATCTTGCCACCTACTGCTGAGATTAAAGCCAAGGTTCTACTAAAATAATCTCCATTTTCATCAAAAGAGTTCTGGACCTTGGTTTATTGACTCTGTTGTCTTCAATATGAGAGCAGGCCGACTAGTGTTTAAAATGGTGAAAAAAAACAAACAAACAGAAAAACAGAACAATAATAAAGCAGCACCAGGGAGTCAAATTGAAAAAGAAAATAAAAGAAAACCTTTGCTTTATGAATAACTGCTATTTAGGAGGGAGATGTTTTTTAAGATAAGGCAATACAAAAAAAACAAAAATCACACCAGAGTGCTTTTTCTTTAATTAAAAGGAAGCAGGATGCCTATTCAGTAAATGTTTCTTTAAAAAGTAAAAATTGTTTAGTTTACCCTCAACCTCATACGCTGGGGTCTTTTTAACAAGACAAAAATATAAAACCTAAAGATGGTACGGACCTCTCTAAGCCTGCTGTAGTACATCTGTGGTCATTATTATTCCTGCATTTACGTGTCCGACTGCTAACCAGCATCATAGGCAAAACAGAAACGTAACTTAATCACCTGGATCAAAACATTTATATCAAAAGCTGGGCACTGTGCAGACTACACCATTTTCAGAACAACTGATGCCTTCAAAAACATAAATACTTAGCAATGCTAACAGACTGAAGATAAAACACCAAAATAAGGTGGTTGAATAAATAGAATAAGTCTAATTGATCAAATATTGCCTCAACTTTTAGTTTTCTACTAGAACAATATTATTTACTAAATAAGACATTAAATAAATAAATATTAGTCAATACAATGCAAAGTGTTGAGTGCAATATATTTTCAAGATAAGGAGATTACCTGTGGAGGTTGGGCGCGCCCAGTGGCAGGAGCAGGTTTCTGAACAGAGGTTGGAGGAGCACCTGGCTGAACTGGGCGCAATGGTGCTGAGAAAAGTTAACATATAAACATAAAGACCCATTCTAGGAGAAATGTAAGTCCACTTTTATGCAAAAAAAAAAAATGTATTCCTATTTAAAACACACGTACAGTGGTTTTCCTTACTTAATACAACGGGAGGCTTGGTGGCTGGGAGGGAAACGCTGCTTGCTGTACTAGAGCTGGAAGCAGTAACTTTGGGCAGGGTGGAATTAAAGGAGAAAGCTGGTGCTGGGCTCTCAACAGAGGAAAATCTAAAAGTATAAAAAAATAAATAATAATAATGCAGATCTGTATATTTATGCCTTTATGTAAAAAAAAAAAAAAAAAGTTCAGAGTAAGAATAACTTATAAAAAACAAGTACCTGTCATTTAGATTTAACTTGACAGGAGGGAGAGAGGCAGCAGTGAGGGTCGGAGGTGTTGCAGCTGGGGCTTGTGCTGGTGCAGCTGCTGGTTTCAGGGAAGGGGAATTGAATGAAAAGGCTGAAGAAGCGGACGGTGTTTCAGAAGGGGGTTTGGAAGCGAAAGAAAAACTTGAGGATGCGGAGCCAAAAGGTCCAGAACCCCCAAGGGAGAGCGTTGGTGGGGCTGAGGTGGTGGAATAGGTGGTTGGAACTGAGAAAGTAAATCCAGATGAAGCGGAAGAAACAGGAGCTGTAGGAACAAAACTGAAAGGGACTGTGGAGGAGGAAACAGCAGGAGTAGATGAAGTGGAAGAAACGGATGCAAGAGGGATGTTTGGGAAGGCGACAGGCGTCGATGAGGCTGAGGTATCGGGTTGGGTCGCCAAGGAACCTGAAAAAAAAAAATAAAATAAATCAAAATCACTTGGGTGGATCTCATCACAATTTTACCTGGTCATCTGGAACTGGGAACTTTTAGATTCAAATTGTAAACAACTGACCAGAGCCTGTGTTCACAAAAATTCCTAGCCTAAAAACATTCTGCCAAAGACTCCTAGCTTTAAAGGGATTCAGATAGTTACAAAACCATCCTTTAAAATGACTCAGTTGGTATCGAGGTATAAAAAAACAAAACATCTCTAGTCTACTTGTTCAGTCTGTCTCTGAGCAGGTAAATACAGGTACCAGCAAACGTATCTGGATCAGGGTGAGGCCAAAAACCAACTACTTGTAGTCACCACCTACAGCCTCTTTTTATTCATGCATTTAGGTGTCAACCGAAAAATAAATGTGAGTATAATGTTTAGACATCCGACTATAAAAATATTCTTGCAAACTAAGCAATGAATTTGCTATTCACAAAGTATACAACTGATGTCTTAGGGGCAAAATGAGTCTAATCATGAAAAAAGAAATAAACAGTTAATACAAGGTCACACATTAATGTGAGGTATGAACTTTAATTTTCACCCAATTCCAACATTATTTGATTGCCAGAAAAAAAAAATCTCACCAATTTTAAAACTAACATGAACAGTTTCTAAAAAAAACTTACCTGGCTTTGGCTGCCTTTCTCCTTCCAGGGTAAGAGCAGTAGATGGTGATACTAGCTGCTTAACCCCCGGATTCAGGTTTAGAAGAGCAAATGGGCAAAGTAATCCCTCTGTGGACAGCATTAGCATCGTAGGTGCTGGAGGCAGAGTCCTCTCGTCAGCTTTGGGAAGACAGAGAATGATGATTACTTTACTCAATGTATAGACCAAAAAAATAATAATCATACATTTGACAAAAATATTAAAACTGTTCTTGAAAAAAACAATTACAGTCTCAGAAACATTTACAGTTTACCATCTGATCCCCCCTCATATATGTAGCATCCCTTCACTAATCAAGGAGAAGCTTTATGGCTCTTCGGCAAGAGGCTCTAAAGTGTCTACAAATTAAATATCTAATCAACAAAAGACATTTATGTAGAATCTCGAGAGAAACTATTTGTACTTTACACAAATTACATTTCCAACAGAAAATAAGAGCTGATTTTGTGTGTGTGTTGTTCGCTTTGAAGAGAAATTGCTGTTTGTCACCTTAAGTGTAAAATTCATGAGAACATTTGCTCACAAATACAGCAAGTTAGCAGCACACTCATCTCACGACCTTGGCTCTTCTCGCCCAGCACTCAGTTTAAAAAGGCACTCGGCAGTCACGCTTAGAGATCAATCTTAAGATGCCTGATTTTGCAAAACACAGCCCACTGTGTTTCACTTCTTTGCAAACCTTCAAATCGGTTCTGCTGCTCACACCCACTTCTCCACACTTACAAAAATCCTGCATTATGCTGGCTGCAGCCAAAAGGACAGAACTCAAGCTTACGGACAAAAGTGATGAAAATTTGGAATTCATAAAACATACTTAAATATCCATCAGTTGCATTGTATACTTCTGCTCTTAAAAGGACAGAATTTAAGACTCAGTGGATCCAATCAATGAGTGCTTTTCTTGCATGTATGGCTGCAATTGGCTCTTTAAAATATTTAGCAGATGTAGCCTGTGAAAAACAATGCAGCATATTTTTTTATTTTGAGAAAAAAGAAAAAAGTTTAAGCTTTCTGGGAAGAAAGAGGAAGGAAACAAACTCAGTAACCCTCATCTGTATTCTGCATTAGGATTGTCTGGGCTTTGTTGTTTGTTTTGGTCCTATAGCTTGTCTGAGCCATTTTAATGAGTACATTTGTTCTCCCCAGATGACTCTGCTGTTACTTCCCCCACTCTTGTCATGCCTACCTAAAGCCTCCCTTTAGATCAAGGTTTTGATGAGCCTAAAATCATGTCATAATGCCGCTCAAATCGCAGTTCTTTTTCTCTAGGAAGTTCTTGAGGTGAATGAGTAGAGATGTGATCAGACAGCAGTAGCAACTCTACGTGGATGTCTGCCAGACTGGGCCGGTTAGGATGAAGCGGGACACAGATGCAGTAGCTTATCACTATTCTTTACACATGCTGCAATGGAGCACTGCAGTGGACGCTGTGTTCACAAAGCAGCCTGATGGATTTTGGTTTCATCTGATCAATAAAGGTGTGTACAGCAAAAGCCTTTCAAAGATGAAACAAAGAGTAGACAGATTGCAGCACAAGAGATGAATTGAGATGAAATCAAATGTAAATAGTTTGCAGAGTTTCTAAGGGGAGAGTAGATGGTAGAGCTTTTATATATCAACTTGTCTCTTGTGAAACAAACCCTCAGTTTATTTTAAGAGGAACACCACTATCAACTTTAAAAGAAAGCCCTAAAACTTTCAGTTTTGACAATTACAACGCACACTAAGTCCAGAGACGTCTCTTTTTTTCTACTAGTTTATGCCATTGTTAGGGTGATTATTTTCTTCCTGCACTGTAAACGTCCACTAGATAAAGATGAACAACCATCTTGAGTCAGATTTGTTTACAGAGTTCCTCTCTCCATTGTTTTTGTGTGCAACCTTATCACAAAGATAAAGTGAAATCTAGTTTTTGTGGGGTTGCGCAAAGATGTTCCTTTTTTTTTATGGATATGAAGTGAAGCCACTGGCCCACTGGTGTGCCCATTACCACCTAAAGCTTACCAAGAAGATCATGGAGAACTACCAGAGAACAAAACAGCTGAACACAAATGTCAGCTGTGGACCACAGCAGGTCCCCACACAGACCTTGTTTGGAAGAAGGCCCAGCAGAGACCTTACTTTTTAATGGAAACTTAAACCTTTCAGGTATTAGTAGTATCCATCCATCGCGAGGGGTGCTGGTGCCCATCTCCAGCAGTCAATGGGCGAGATGAAAGGTACACCCTGGACAGGTCACCAGTCCATCGCAGGGAAACACAGAGACAAGCATGACAAACAACCATTCACACACACACTCACACCTAAGGAGAATTTAGACAAGTCAATCTAACAGTCATGTTTTTGAACTGTGGGTGGAAGCCGGAGTACCCGGAGAGAACCCACGCATGCTCAGGGAGAACATGCAAACTCCATGCAGAAAAGCCCCAGAACCCAGAACCTTCTTGCTGCAAGGCAGCATTGCTACCCACTGCGCCACCAAGCAGCCCCCGTGAAGTAGTATATATTGTCTATATTAGTAAGAGAGTTTAAACGTCCTAAATGCTTTCTAGTAAACGAGTACTGGTACTCGTCTCCTGCTTCATCCAGGACCAGGTCATGGGGGAAACAGACTCAGTAGAGACTCCCAGAACTCCCTCTCCAAAGAAACCTCTTCCAGCTCTGCTGGGGGAAGTCTGAGGCTTTCCCAGTCAAGCTAACTGACAGACAGCCTGTTCTGGGTCATCCCCTGGGCCTCCTCCTGGTGAGAAGTGCCTGGAACACCTTGCAAGGGAGGCATCCAGGTGCAACCAAAAAAGATGTCTTTATGAATCCTTGTGATGTGTAGGAGAGGCAGCTTTACTCTGAGCCTCTCCCGAATGACAGAGCTCCTTATCCCATCTCTTAGGGAGAGTCCAGCCTATCTGAGGAGCTTTGCCGGTTTGCTCGGCTCTCTCTTCACCATGACAGACTGGTGCAGCTTCCACATTTATTAGGAGCCGCACCAATCCATCTTTCGATCCCACTGTATCCCACCCCCCACCCCCACCACTCGTGAACAGGAACCCAAGATGCTTAAGCTTGAGACAGGACTCTGCTCCAACCTAAATGGGACAAGCCACCTTTTTCTAGTTGAGAACAATGGCCTAGAGGAGCTGATTCTCATCCCCGCCGCTTCACTCTCAGCTGCGAAAGGCCCCCCTGCATGCGGTAGGTTTTGGTGGGAGGGAGACAGGAGAACAAAGTCTTCTACAAAGACCGGATGGCCCCTAGTAAAGAGCCCCCGACTCCGTTCTCCTGCAGCGCCCCTCACAAGGCACCAAGAGAGACTCGGTCATATGTCTTCTCCAGGTCCACAAAGCACATGTGGTGTGGTTTGGCAAACTCACATAAAGCCTCGAGCACCCTGCAGAGGGTGTAGAGCTGGTCCATTGTTCAACGGACAGGATGAAAACAACAGTGTTCCTCCTAAAGCCGAGGTTCGAACATCAGCCGGACACTCTTCTCCAGCACCCTGGCATAGGTCTTACCAGGAAGGCAGAGGAGAGTGATTCCTTCCAGTCCTCCAGTCATGTTGAAGAGGCATGTCACCCAAGACACTGAAAAGTTTTAGAAAATCACTACTTTTCCCTCTGGAAGCACCAAACAGTTTGCAGGAATTATTGCTTTGAGGCCAGCCAATAGTCTTTCTCCAAACTCCTCATGGCCCAAGTTTTTTGCCTCTGCAACCGCCTGGTCAGCAGCACGCTTGGCCTCGCGATACCCGCTTGCTGCCTCAGGAGTCTAACAAGCCAACCAGACTCAATAGGAGTAATTTTTCAATTTGACAGCATCCCTTCCTACCGGTGTCCACCACCAAGTGTTCAAGGATTGCCGCCATGACAGCTACAGTAGACCTCCGGCCACACCTGTGGTCGGCTGCATGGTCAACAAAGGCAGAGAACATGGGCCACTTAGAACCCATGCATCTCCCTAGAATATGGGAGAAGCCGTACCAAAGGAGGGAGTTGAACGGGTCCTGACCGAGGGCTCCACCATACGTTTCCAGCAGACCCTCACTACTCGCTTGGGCCTGCTGAGTCCGTCTGGCTTCCTCCTCTTCCAGTGCATTTAGCTTATCACAAGATGGTGGTCAGTGGACAGCTCTTCCTCTTCCCCCCCCCAAGACATGCGGCTGAAGTTAAGAAGATTTGACTACAAAGTTGATCATTCACCTCCGGCCCAGGGTGTCCTGATGCCAGTTGGACATCCTTATGCTTGAAAATGGCGTTTATTATGGACAATCTGTGACTTGCAATGAAATCCAATAATGAAACACCACTTGGGTTCAGAGATGGGGGTTTGTTCCTCCCAGAAACCCACGGAGGAAAGGAATGGAGGGGAAGTTTACTCATCAAAATTGTAATTATTCAGGAAATGTGATTAATACAATAGCTAGGTCGGGTGCACTTAGTATAAAGAAACCTTCAACAGATGGGATGATGGGAATACTGACTTTTAATGTCACAATATTGGAATTTATTCATCTCATTTAGGATTTATTTAGGAAAATAATAATGAATACAGGTATATTTAGCTTCAATCATACATTTGACCTTAAATTTATTTTGTTTGTTTTTTTCTTTATAGGGGGCTGGAATGTTTATTCTAAAAGCTCTTGTCACACTCTATTAAATGAGTGCGGTCTCTAAGGGATTCAGAAAAGTCTTTACAGAGTAGTATTCTACATTTTATTCCATTTAATTGAAATATATTAGAGGAAGTCTGTGTTTTACAAGAGTTTCTAAGCCAATCTAAGCCACTCAGGACAAAACAATTCTGAACTAAATGACTGCATCATTCGAGTTCTTTTAAAGGATAAGAGATAACCTAAAATCTAAAAGCACTTACTGATTTGGATCGCTTGCTGGCTTGTATAGTCTATAGCCAAGCCAAGAGGCAGAGTGTCGTCATTCGTCTCAGTCACTGGAAGTTCTGCTCTACTAGCATCTTCGAGAAGCCAAACCTCCCACATCTTAAAGAAAAAAAAAAAAAAAACATCAGAGGACAGAAAATAAATCATCCGTTCCTTCATCATAAATTACACAAGATTCTTTAATAACGTGTGAATCTAAGTGAAACAAATACATGTTTGTTGTTTAATTAAGCTCTTAACAAATGTTAACAAAAATTATATTTTTGAGTTTAACAGTTATAATTCTCTAACTTTTTTAAAATCATGGACAGTGGCATTTCCTCAATTCAGGCATCTGAGTAATCCTTGCGTTTTACTGTCTGAACAGCAGTCCCTCCCTGACCTATGGAAACAAGTGGCTGGAGAATATCTACATAAAAAGGCTCCCTCCGGGAAGAACCCACCTTAGCCGCGTGGTGTCAGCAACGTAGAAAATAACCGCACTCTTCCATCAGTAAGGGGTGATGGGAAGAACAGCGTGATGATTTTGGCTTAAGTTATGAATAAGTGCAGCTAATCTGCAAAGGGTAGCAACATCTACTTTTTTTATAGCTTATTTCTAAGCCATACAAATGTGGGTTTTTTGGGCCGTAAGAGTTGTTAAAGTTTGTTCAGACTTCAGAAGTGGTGTGATCTGGTGGCGTCAAGAAATAGGCAGCACCAAGCCTCGAATGGTGGCTTTGCTTTAAAGCCTTGTGTTTTTCTTCAGGATTGGAAGAAAAGAACTAGATTTCATAATACATTTACACTGATATAGTCCTAAAGGCATTATTTCATGATACATTTCTATGTAGAAAAGTTTCATGGGCATTTCCAGTTCTGCCACAAAGCTAATTCTGCAACTAATGGTGGTTTGTTATCTGCGTGAAGCTAGCCCCGCTATTTTCACTGAGTTTTACGTGGGGTAGGGTGCAGCTCATGCAGATGGACAGCATGTGACTCTTTTATGACTTGAATACTGGGTTAAATACTCAGACTACAAACAATTCCATGTCCAACCCCTATCTTCTGCACACCACAGAATGCTCTCCAAAGAGGCTTGAATATTTTTTTTAATCGAAACCAACTAATATGGCGGCCCCCATAGTTCTGGCTGGGAAAGATGCCAATAAGTGGCTTTGAAAGACTTTAAAAAGATGACATAGGATCTTTCAGCTAAATCACTTTTAGTTTAAAAATGCCATATACTCGGAAACTGAGATATTTTCACATTCATTAATTATACTTGAGCACATTTATCTAGAGTCAATGTTTAATTGACTTATGTTGATGTCTAATTACATTTATATTAACTTGAGAGTTAGGAAAACGGTTGAGTTCAAAAGATATTCTATTTTTCATAGTCAAAACAGTGAATTAAACAGTTGTTAAGGTTTTGTCGTTTCCAGTTAGTCACCTTGTCATCTTGTCTTGCAATCACGCTGACCTCGATAGATGCCGCTGATGCAGCCAACAACAGGTCCCTTAGAAAAATAGTAAAGATGAAGAAAAAAACTATTAATTTATCATGATTGTCAAAACATACATATAGCAGGTATTCCAGTACAAAATTTTTTTAAATCTGATATAAACTGCATCATCACTTACCAGTCCTCTATATGACTCAGGAAGTAGTGATGCTGTCGCTCTGTACAGCTGCCATAAACACTCTCACCGAAGTTCACATACTTTGGCTCTGGTCTCTCATCCCGTTTCTAAAGAATTTAAATAGATGCTTAAAATGACTTACAAAAATAAAAACATTGGATTATATACTATAAAGCTCTGTGACACCAATCTGTTCCTAAATGTCTAAAATGCTTTGGAATAAAAGACAATCTTTATTTTAGAGGTTCTGAGCAACAAATCATTCAAATTACATCCTTAATTGGTCTAATCATCATTTAAATAAAAATTGTACATGTATAAACTGCTCTTTAGTTGTGCTATGGACCCTGGCAGTCTTTTAGAGATGCAATTCTATTCTAATGTCGCTGGTTTTATATCGAGAACAGACATTTAAATAAATATATCAAGTGGTCAACAGATATTTTGTGATACTCACAGGGAGGGAGATCAGCACCAGCTCAGGAGGGGTCTCAAGAGACCCATCAGCAGCAGCATAAGCCACAGCAAACACAGGTGTTCTTAGCCAAAGCACATCCAGAGCTGCAAATAATAATTGCAAACAAAGACAAAGTATGATCAGGGAAATTCAACAAATAATGAAAGGTTTTTGGGTCTAACAAATATAGGTGTTACCAATGAAATTCTTGTAGAATAAAATTTAAACAGTTTCAGAAAAGTAAAGTAATAAATTAACACCATTTACTGCTTCAGTTTCTTGTCTGTATATGTGACCTGCTTAGTTGGGGATTAATTCTTCTTCAAACAGCTAGGTGTCTAGGCGTGAGGAACATCAGCATACAACAGCCAGCTGTTATGATTGTTATTTAAAAAGAAAGTAGCTAGACCAAAAGTAAGAGTAAAACCAAATTTATAAATCTATAAATCTTAATGTTGAAGAATAGGAACATTGTAGATTCTTTCTCAAACCATGTTCACTCCATATTAGAGCAGCATGTGAAAACTAAGCAAATTAAGGTCTGAGGGGAGTTTAAATGTTGTGCAAACATGCATCCTAATGTCCTGAGTATAATTTTTGGTGGCCGAGTTAAAGGAGCAAAACAAAAGTTACAGAATTTATGCAGAAATGTTGCTCCTCTAGGTAAGTGGAAATGACACCAGTGTTGCGTTGGAAGAAGAGAAGTCTAATGCTGTGACTGCAAAGATCTTTTGTCTGGAGGTGTAATGTCTTCTAAAGTAAGAACATTTTAAATACTGAAAATGGAAGATCTTTGCCTTTTTAGATACAAGCAAGGGCCAACTGCAGGTTCCTTATCAAAAACTCCCCAATATTTACTCATCTTATTCTATCACTCATCAGACTTCAATTTGACCCTTTTTGTGGCACTAGACCTACGTTTCATAGTCATTGTCTTGCATGTAGTCTCAGATGGGTTTAAAGGTACCCATGTGGCTGGTTTCTTGCAATTCATCTTCAAAATCAGTCATGTTTGAAGTCTTATAATGTATCAATTGCAGCGGACACAGAAACTAACCAGGTGAACTACTTTGCTTTAGTCAGGTCACAACTAACTAATGGAGCCTATAAATGGCAGCTGTGGTAAATAAAGGAAAACTAATTTTACATGTTGGGATATTGCAAAGGAATGTATGGAGAACAAAAACTTGAATTTGTGCAATGCACCTTTAGGAAGTCTGCAATCATAGTACTGGTATATACTATTAAACACTCATGAAATGCAGCGAAACATTTTCAACATATTTAAATAGTTTTCAGAAAAAATACTTTCTTTATATGCATATAAATGCTTTTTTTTCAACAAATTATAAATTAGATGTATATTTTTTGTATTATTAATGATCAAATAATTAAGAGATTATTCACAGGAATAATGACAATCAAACGATCACTTAATTATTCTTCTAATGAATGTGAAATAAAAAATAAAAAAAATCACTGTGGGTGATTAATATTCAATACATAGAATATGCACTTCATAGACAAAAAAAGATGGATTTCTATAGGAAAAAAATGCAATTTAGATGAAGACAACTTTAAAAAAATGAAGTAGTAAGGTAAAGAGCTTGGTAGAGATATTATTCCCATATCTAATAAATGCCTTTTTACCTTTGACGGGGTCATCAGAAGTGTAAAATGGTGGACATGGGATAACTCTCTTTTCTTCTAGAGCCTTTTGAGGAAAAACAACGAATCAGTTTCACTTTGAAAAATAAAAAAATTAAAAAACACACAAAAAAACAAAGCTTTTATCTAATTTTTGGTCATTAAATTGAACTTACTGGTGTGTACTGAGACACAGTGGCATTCATTTTTCCAACAGCTATCTGTTTTCCCTTTGGACTCCAACCCACTACATTGAGAAAAGTAGACAAATGGTATTTAACCCAGGTACAAATGATGTAATATTTTATTTTAAAGTATATTATAAACAGGTCACACTTACGGCATGTGATGCCACTGCCAGCCGGTAGCTGGGCTTGTATCTTGACACAATCTGTAACCTCAAGAATCATCATGCTGCCATCAGACAGGCAGGATGCCAACATGGAAGGCTGAGCAGGGTTCCACTTTAAGTCCTGAACCAAAGCATCAGAAGCTGCAGCTGGCTGCAATGATGCAAACGGTGACTTCTGAGGTCTGGCCTGAAAAAAAAAAAAAATTAAATCAAAATACAACAAAATGGTCAATAAATAAATGACTGTGAAATCTTACTGCAGTCACTTTGAGATCAATAACATCTTTTGGTATTAATTGTTATTTTAAAGAAATATCTTCATATTTCAAAGCCATTTGTCGTCTCAGGGTTTTAATTGTAGGATGGTCCTAAAAATATCTAAACGCAACAAATAAAAACTGTTTTTTTTAAACCTTAAAAGCAAAATCCATAGCATTAAAAATAAAATCAACAAGACTTTCAGCAGTTACCTTATTTAAAAAGGTTCGGACATCGTAAAATGCGATGGACAGACCGGCCTTTTCAGATGTGCCACAAACCGACAAAGTGAGTTCATCACAACTCAGAGCCAAGTGATGCAAAATCAGGTTTCCAGTCACTTCAGCCAGTGGCTGTATCCCAGTTTCTAGAAGACAGTAAAATGACACTTCAGCACCACAACTAGATGAAAAGCATGCTACACACATTACTATAAAGATGTCAATGAAACCTGTGTGCTCAAGTTCTTACCAACTTCGTGGGAGTTCCGATCAGCTTGATCAGCAGCGAGAATATTTTGAGTCAAGTATACTTTAAATGTTTGGCCAAGGCCAACAAATGTCAAACCATATTTGTTTGAGACAGTAAGAAGACTGGATCTTTCTTTGGGGAAATCTTCAGTAGCCTCAAAAACTCGTACTTTCTTCATCTGTCGAAACTGAAAATCCTACAAAAAAAAAAAAAAAAAAAAAAAGACAGATTTACCATTATGGCCAGAAACATATGTAATTGTATCAGCGACCTAAAATATTAAGGCCATTAGTGCCCCCTTCAACTGGAGGGGGGAAAGGCTTGTTGTAAATTGACACCTTTCTCTACCATCAATGGTGAATTCTTGCAGTTAAAATCCCTGCTATAAATGCTTTCTGCACGTATAGTATGCATTGCTTTTAGGATTAATCATCAGTGAAGATCACAAACACTTTTAAATTAATTAACATTGTCCAGTCTCAATATGGTTTGCGAGTCAACTGTACCTTTAGTTGTGTTAATTTGTTTATTTAGCATTATTCAATTTTTCTTTAACATACTGTAACAATTTTTTGTGTTATTTCATCAAAACTGACATTTTCTTTTTTAAAACGTCTTGTTATAACTTCAGTTTCATAGCTGAATTCTTCAGAAAATAAAAAGCCTACACAAGATTAGTTTTAACCATTTGCATTTCCACCTCCACAACAGATTCCCACCTCTGCTGGATTACTTTTCAGAGTTGTTGTGTGATTCCCATAACATGAATAAGTAAAACCTATTTTATAACATAGCTTATGTACTCAATGATTAATATCAATAATACTAACACCATCGTCAGCACTTTAATTTGTTTACAAACATAAAAAGGACAGTTTCTATCTTGGATTTTTGCCAATGCTTACATGTCAAATTGTAGAAGAAAACAGTGACACATTACATTAAACAGTCGTTTGATATGATTAAATAACCAATAGGTTAACGCTAAAATTAAAGTAGCTCTTTACGGGAGTAAATGGCAACACTATTTTCTGTCACTGAAAAATACAAGGAATAACTGGATAAGTACTCAACACATATGTACTGGCTTAAAGGTAGTGCTAATGTTCTAGCATCAAAGCTAACTAGCTAAAACTCGGAGGAGTTCATGGTGTGTACTTAAACACAAAATATTTTATTTAATCAATTTTATATAGATAACTTTCAACTGTTGTTTCGTAAAAGACGATATCGTTTTCGACTAAAACACTTAGCATGCTTAAATTTAAAGTTGTTCAACGAGGCACCAAGCTAAGCTAGCCGCTAACTGAAACTTAACTGACGCAGTAGCTTCCACATGCTAATTGGTAGCAGTATTCAATAGTTTACCTTCATTTCCCTTTCGGGAGGAGAGTCTCCGTCGTCTCCCATTTCCAGTATCAGTATCTGCCTTCCCCGAGAAGGGATATGATAATTTTATTTGTTGAAAGTCCGTATATGAGTTTAGTTGAGATGCATCAGAGAAGCTGAGGACGCTGCGCGCAAATATACCGTAGAGCAAGATCCAAGGATGGCAAGCAGATGCCAGAGCACATAGATCATTCACCTACTATATATATATATATATATATATATTTTTTTTTTTTTCATATATATATGAACATATACATATTTTAAAATAGAGTTCCAGAGCACATACATCACTAACCTACTATAAATTATATATCTATATATATATATGGATTTTGCTGTTTAAAATCAGATATATTAATGTGACTTTATTATTTTGTGATTTTGATTTACATCACCAAATTTTGTGTAAATAGAAATAAAGAGATCATACATTCATTAAACACATGTTTTTTTCATCAGTTTTTTTCAGCATGAATCACTTTAAATGAATTCAATATCTGAATAATATACATTTCTTAAAGTTGATTGATGGTGTTTATAAGCGACGTTTCTGACAGTATTTAGAAAGTGGGATGTTGAATAAAATGGGTATGGATAATTACTGGATAATATTTACAAAACTGAGACATTAGCAAGAAGAAAAGTCAATGCCTCTCTTAAGTTAATGTTTGTATCTATGCAGACCTTTATTGTAAAGGTTCAATTTTTTTTTCAAAATGGTTCCTTCGGCTCAAATGTTAACTTTTGCAAACATTTAAATATCTGTTTTTAAAAGTTTTTTTTTTTTTTTTTTATGAAAAATATGATTTAGTAGAACCGCAGCATTGACTGTTTTTTTACTATTGGCAACACCTTAATGCCCCGAGTGCATTATGCATATCTGAAAAAAGAACAAATAAACATTTCTGTAAGGTACCCCTGCTGTGTATAGGATTTATGCAGTCAGCTCTATAGGCAGATCCCCAGGGGCAGCCTTTCAGCTCTGGGAACACAAAGACACTAAGACAAATGAACACGCCGCTCAGTACAGAACATGGTGAAGTAAGGTTTTTTTTATTAGAAAGCAGACATGTTTTTGTATTGCATTTAAAGAAATAAGGTACTCCTCATATACACAACTTGATACCCATAATGGCAAATGTGATGATGGGAATGAATGAATTCTTATGCAACATCAAAAGTGGCAACTTGCATTTCCAGTATATATTATTGATGATTGAGTCAGAAGGCGCATAAACATTTCAACATTATTTCTGTTATGAAGCAGTATCAACACTAAGCCTCATCCAAATTTGTCCGGGGCCAAGACCTGCTGATAGTCAGGAACAAGACCATGACCAAAGTATGCAGTTGCATGATAAAATTGTCCTTTAAGAAAAAAAGTTGCTGTCCATCATCAAATCACCAAAAAATGAGAGTTAAGGTCCATGCCAACTGAAGACAGCTATGTCGGTTGAGCACCAAGGTTTGAGTCGATCCTTGTTGCAAACACATACACTAACATAAACAAAGAAGGCTGCAGTCAATAACCCCATCCTTCCATTCTGAAGGTAAGTCAGTATAGACTGCACCAAGATGAAAGACAATAGCAAATAGCAAAAGCACAGCAAGTCATTTCACATCCCCATAGTGCACTGTGGGCCTCATCCCTTTTCTGATTGTCAGCGCTCTGAACACATGGCTTTAAAAGTTGCATCTACTCCCATGTCAGCTGTCGCCTTGGTCATCCTTGACACTTTTTTTCTTTTCTTTCGGTTTTCTAAGTAGTTCTAAAGTGCTGGCATCATGTTTGAGGACACAGACATACACATACAAACTTTCCATTGCATTTCTTTTCTTAGTCTCTGAAGATTTAAATGCACACCCGAGTGGGTAGTTAGTCTATGCACGTCATTCTTAATCAGTACTTTGCTGTTGATTATGCAAGAGATTACATTTTATGCAGACATTCAATGAAGGTCAGGGTCTATGATTTAAAAAATACAGCCCAGTTGACTGCAAGACAACCCAAGTCTTCGCTTGCAAACAGTAAAAACAGTTATTCAGCATAAAATACAGGGTGCATAAAGATCAGAGGTTTCATTGGGTTAGGGTGAACATCGGAATGGCATGCATTTTATGATAGAAGTGTAATTTTTGCATATCAGTGTATAATTTTCAGGGTTAACCTTTCAGCAGAGCAAAACAAAAGAATTACAGTGCCTATTATTTTTACAGTAAAAGAGGAAACAAAAGAAAAAAATGTTTTTTCTTAAAAAAAAAAAAAAAAAAAAAGAATAATGAAACAATGGTTTCTTCACAGCCAACAACCCCTTTTGCAGTAAACATGACACTGGTTTCCATCAAACAAGCCCGTAAAAATCATACACATTACTTATCTTTTTTTCCTAATAAGCGCCTCCATTGGAGCCCATTCTCTCAAAAGTTAGCCATGACACTCTCTGAGAATTTCTCATTTTAAAGTGCAACATCAGTTGGTTACTCTGCACAATATGGAAAAATAAGACCCCAAGAAGCGAGAAGGTTAATTTTAAATAATGAAGATGATGAACGAAGGTAAAGTTTTCAGAGGAAGACACATTTGAGCAGATGTACAAATCTTACTTGGATTAATAAATCTGATTGTATTTACATTTCTTGATAGGTTGCCCTGTCTTGCTCAGCATGCAAGGGTGTCCAATAAGGAACCAATTATATATTTTAAATAAAAGCTTAAATAAACACAGTGACTGTAGTAAAGGAAGTATATATTTTTTTATACATTCAAAGATGACACAAAAGAAAATAAGACAACTAAAATGTATCAAATAGTTGTTAGAGTCATAATTTTAAAGTGTGGAGTAACATTTTCAGTAAGAGAAAAGTCTAATCTATACAACCTCCTTGCTTTTGTTTGTTTCTAAACATTATTATGGCACAAACCTACATTCACAGTCTAAGGCACTGCTCCACCCCCCTTTCATCAATGCAATGGAGTATATCGCATTTTCCTAGGCCCTTATAGTTACTGCACTCTTTATTAGAGCGATACTTAAAACTCTATTAGAATTAATGGGGGATAAAAACATTCGGTTTGAAGATGCTTTAGTGAAAGCGGAGATTTAATATGTATTCAATGCACTGTGTCTCTAAATTCAATGTAGTTTAAGGGATAAGTGTGGCTTGCTTTTACAGTTGAAACATTTTTAAATGTAAATTTAATTATTTATCTAATAAACTTTGGAGTTAAATTTCCTGACTAAACTGGAGGGGATTTAGATTGTAAACCCAAAGAAATTCTTTATGTGTTTTTATTTGTTACCTCAATTGAGCAACCAATAAATTATACAAAAAATATTGAGTGATTTTACAATTAGAAAAGCACATTATTGTTTTGATCAATATGAAATCGTTCATAGGGGGATAAAATCATGTGGAGTACCTGAAACAAACCTCAGTTTTGCACTTATTAGGCAACTGCTGCCTGTGCTTCACCCCACTGGAAGACCCGTTTGCATCATTTCAAAATGATAAGGTCAAAACATCACTGTTAATTAAGTTAATCTAAAGATCATTTTTCTGAAGAATTGCAATTTATGAGTAAAAAAAAAAAGAAAAATGGAACCACATGATAAACACAGATTCAATAATTTACTATATCATAAAAATAGACTGTGACCCTCACCAAAGCAATGCTACAATTTACATTCATCAATCATCTTGGCCATTCATAACCCTGGGTTATCAAGGGCTGACTACAGTTCATTCTGAAAGGAAAAAACAAACAAAGAAATAAAACTGTAAACGTATTAACATTAGCTATAGTGCAATCGTGACCCTTATTTTTTATGGATGGATTTTTTTTTTTTTTTTTTGCAGGGCCATCTAAAAACTCATCCAAGAAAAAGGAAAAGACAAAGAAAGTTTGGCCCAATCTCTAAAGTGTTACATCACTGAAATATTACATAAGATGTCAAACTAAGGGTATTTCTTTTAAACATCCTAACCTCACTTGTGTCATCAGCTTAATATTTGTTTAATAATAACATTTTTAGAATAGTTATGGCAAAAAATCTATGGTCTGCTCTTTTGATTCAATGTGCTCTGACTGTTGACTGAGACCACAGCAAGCTAAGAACAAGAAGCAACACTTAACAGTGGATCTTTTTAAATCAATGCATGAAAGGAAAAAAAAAAAAGAAAGGCTCTTTGGACTGGGTTCTATGCATGGCAATGGCAAAGGGCATGAAATCAGACATCAAAAACAGAAAACAGGCATGACGAATGCATGGCCTCAGTCCCCCTCCCCTCCAACAAAATACAGAAAATAATCATCAATAGAGAACTGTTGTTTCTATCTGAGCCCACAGATTGTCTGATTGGGTAAGCGATCATGGTAATGTGGTGGCTATTTGCAGTCTTTTGCAGAGGCCCTCTTCCCCACCCTCTGTCTCTCTTGAGTACAAATGCAGTAAACAAACCTAATTTGCTCTTAAAAGTTTCTTAAATAATTTACCCTCCAAATCCCTTCCTCATAGGAGAGGAGGAAAACAACACAAAAGGAAAATGGGAACAGGACAAACTTTGTACACATCACACCAACACATTAAGGTGGAACAGTACTCTTCTCTTTTCTCAGTGTAGTGCACTCCCTATATCCACTCTTCTCCATTTAAGCGAAAAATACACTCTTCAGAAGTACTCCAAATAAAATAAAAATACAAACAATAAATTCAGACTTTCTCTGTCTGGGTCAGAAAACGGTCTAAGCAGAGTAAAGTCGAGATCATTTGTGGCATTTGGTAGTCTGTTTCCAGAAATAAATTGGAAAAAAGTGCTTCCGATTTATGATGGCATAGCTCCAGGCAATAGTAGCTGCTATCTTATTTCAATGCAGAGCTATGGCTTTGCTGTTCACTTCAGCAATTCTTCCCATTCATTGTTTGGATGAATGCATGCAAGGCTTGACATTATCTTATGTTATGGTTCACGTCTCTGCATCTCCAAAAATTCTGTAATTTTTGGAGTTAAAAAGCAATGCAACATATTCTTTTTGACAGAGTGCCACTTGATTACATCAGCACGGACATTTAAGGCGAAAATTACAGAAATGTAACAGTGTATGTGTTTGTTTGCACATACATATGTGTGGGCTGGGATGTGGAGTCTGGAGCAGACACAGGCATCACATTGACAGCATAATCTGATATGTTACAGTCAGATATGCCCGAGAAAACAGAAAATATATGCCACAGATTTGTTGGATTCTGAAGAGGGAAATAGCATTTGCAGGGAAAAAAATGTCTTGATCTTTTCCACATTTTAAGTTGGTCTAACTGTTTATGTTTTTAATGGGAATTTATAACAGATCAGCACACAGTCACACATGATCGTATTGTGGAAGAAATAAGATGCATGATTTAAAAAAAAATGTTTTAACAAAAAATCTGTGGCATGTGCCTTTAGATCAGGAAGGGCCTCATTGGTAAACAAAGACCCCCTATGTGCTGATTTCATCTCAGTGGAGGTTCAGCTGTTCTTTGTATGAATAAAAGGTGCTTGCATCAAAACATAACCTTTTGGCTGACACACAGCATTCCTCTTTTTGCTAAAGAAAACAACTTTTCATGTTAACATGAGTACACTATCCACACATGGTGGGGGCAGCATTGTGCTGTGGAGATGAATGTGTCCATTGGAGAACAAGGAGCCCACTGAGATGACACCACTGCACAAAACTGAAATCTAATTAAGAAACATTTTCTTAAAATAAGTACTTTTTTTCTGAAATGAGCAGGTAGGTGTGACACTTTACCAGTAGAATGGGACAATTTATATTTAAAATAAGAAAAAAGTGCATAATACCCAATTATCTTATTTTATGGGTGTAAACACTCATTCTATTTGCAGATCATCTTATTTACCTAATAAAATTAAGGGTAAATACACTTTAAAAGAAATTTGTACTCCTTTTAGATTGTTTTTGCAATGGAGATAAAAAAAAAAAAATCATGTATCCCTTTCTTTCCAATTCACATTTATGTGCTCTGTTTTGCTGGTCTGTCACATCATTTCCAAATAAGCTAAGTTTGTAGTTAATGTAACAAAATGCGGACAGGTTCAGAGGATGATGCTGGAAAAAGCAATGTAAGTTAAAAGACAGGAGATGATTTCTTACTTTCTAAATGGTGCTTTCACAGTTCCTGCCTTTAATTGTAATACTGATAATGTTCTCACATATCCCTGAATGGTAATGCGATGTACTGTAAAGAGGTCTTAAAGTTCTCCCAAGTCTTTTTATGAAATAAAATTACATTGCAAACTATAAACTGCGGCAGATAGCTGTTGGTGGTGTAGCGCTGATATGATGAATGATTACAGCCATCTCTTTGACCTTTAATAAGGCTGCAGAAGCCGGAGTACCGAATACATACTTGGATCTGAGAAAGTTTCTGTTCTGTATTAACTAATGCCATGCCTGTGTATGCTTTTACTATGTGTGGGTTAATTTCACTACACATTTTTATTTGTCAATACACAAGCGCACACGAGCGCATGCATGTGTGACCGACTGTTCTGCTGATAAAAGTTGTGAATTCAGCTTTTGTGTATGGCAAACAGAATATCTCAGTTAAGGAAGCACAGAGGAGCAGAAAGAGTGATGGATGACACGGTGAGAAGAAGATGTGAGTGTTAAACACATTTCACAACATGAGAATGACATTCACTGTCCGTTCAACCTCAGATTTTGTCCAAAACTTTCCACCCCCTGCTCAGGGGGCGTGTCTCCTGATCCGACCACTGACACCAAGACTGGTACCCCCAGTGATCGATCGGCTCCCTCTGATCCAGCTTCATCGTCATCCTCATCATGATCCTCCTGGACCGCTGCTTCACCTTCTCCTTCTGCTTCTGCTCCAGCCGCACCTGAACTCGGGCTGCCTGCATGAGTCCTGATAGGGTCCTTGCGATCTGGATACAGCCTTTGCTCTAAGCTCTTCAAATCGTGCTCGAAGGTTAGAGGCACTCCTGACTGAGGAGCACCCAGAGCTAGGTTCAGACCAACAGCAGCAGCAGCACTCATTCCCATGCCTGCGCGGTACACTTCCATGCCGTCAGGCAGCATGGACTTGATCTTGGGGAGCCATCTCTTGCGAACCCGCCGTGCATTCGTGCACATGTCAGCAGCGATCACATTCATTTCACTCTCCTTGAAATTAGGATTAAAGTTTTGACAGTAGACTGTAAAAGAGGAGACAACAGCAATGCCCACTTAGTCAAGCAGCACCCTTTAACATGACATGCATCTGATAATTTGCTCAATAAACCTACGTTTCACAGCATTGAGGACCCTGCTGTCCAGGGGCTTTCTGCTTGGGTCACTCGTAGAAGAACGGATGCCGGTCCCACAGCTATTTGCAAGAGTATTTCTACAGGAATATGCAGTAAATACCAGAGGGAAAAATCAGTAACAAACATACAATAAATCACATTGAAATACGCAGAAACACACACAACTAGTTTCATTGCACAACATACAACAGATAGAGTGTGAAAGTTGATTATTTGGCAACAGCAGCAGAGCTGGAACCAAGCACACATCTAAGAGAGAAACAATAACTGCCGACTTGCACTGTGCTTTAAACTCACCTGTCAAAGAAAGTGGCTAAGAGGCGGCGAAGCAACACTTTGTGTTTGATACCGGCGCACAGATGGCAGTTCATAAGCTGGCCTCGTGTCATGAACACCTGGGTTCCTGAGGTGCATGAACAGAAAAGAATTTCCTGAGAACAATGCCTTGCAGAATGAGCTTTTTAGGGTATTTTTTCTTCTTCTACCAACTTAACTGTTAGACACTGTTACATTCGATTTATTTAAAAGAGTGAAATTATTAACAAGTCCAGCTTAAATAAGAAACAAGAAAAGGAGAGGAAAATCCTTTGGTTTACGTTCTACAATTAATCCTCAATATAACAGTTAAGTTAAGGTTGCAAATGGAGTCCCATCTTTTAGAAATATTTCTCAACACAAAAGGAAAATAACACAACATTGTGAAGGGGATCGAAAATCGTTCAAAATCTTCTTTTTTATTATCAGAAAAGTGCATCTCTATCAATTTCTCCCTCTTTTTTCCAATATTCTTCAATACAATCCAGACATCTGACCTTCAGAACCTTTTCTAATTATTCAAAAGAAATGCCTTGCAGCTGTATTTGAATACAAATTCATGACAAATTCAAAACCTTTCATTAGTAAAAAAAAAAAAAAAGAAAAAAAGAAAATCATGGGAAATATTGTTGGAGTGCATTACATACATTTCAAGTACCGTAGGGTGAAAACTTTTCTTCCAGACAGTATTGTAGACTACAAGACGTAATAAAACCTGTTCACTGACCCTCAGTTAATTTAAAATAAACTTCTTTAACGCACATAACCAAAAATTGTTAATTTTGTTCCAATCATCTGTGTCTCTCAGAATACAGCTAGTGAAGAATAATGGTTCAGGCCTTTTTGTTGAAGTCATTCCATGTCAAAGAAAAAAAGTCTGCTTTTTACCATGCTCCTGGTATACTGAGGGGTTCAGCCCATTTGAGAGTCATTGCTACTGATAGCTGAGAGCAATATCTAGCATTCAGGCCACATCATTCAGCTTTTGTATCATCATAACAGCAAGACAAAAAAAAAAATCTCTTTACATTCTCAGAGCTCTGCAAGGACCATTTGGCAAACTCCCTGCAGCAAGTCATATGCTTTTTACTTTAGTCTGACTTCTACTCGCTCACTCTTCCATAAAGTCCTGATTGATGATATCTGCAGAGATGGTTGTCCATCTGCCACACTCTTTAATCTCCACAAACGAACACTGCAAATCTATGATCCTTCCAGACAGGCAAAGTCCGTCGTTTAAATGAAATCCACCATCGCTAAAAATAATAAAATTAAAAAAATAAATCTGACTAATCTGATGTCTACCAAAAATCCTCACTTTGTTAGCCTCCCCGTGATGTTAGCAGTAAGAGTCTGACAGCTTTTTCTGTTGAAATGTTACTTAAAATAGTTTAACTTAAATGCTATATCTAATTCAGTCAAAACAAAGTAAAGAAAAAAAACAACAATGACCAAAGAACAGCATTATCAACATAGTGGGAGTAAACTTACATCTGGGTTTATACAATCAGTAAAAGGTAAATGAGGTGTAACAGTGTATCTGTGCATGCTAATATTTCCCAGAGGAAGGTATATTTGTATGCATACCAGCAACTAATTCCAGCTTCTCGCCAGGGTCACCCTCGGTGTAGAGCTTAGGGTGGCAGCGGTACCCTATCTGGCTTATGAGGCTTGCGGGGAGCGCCACCAGGTCTCTGCGGATGAGGACGCAGTTACGGTTCTCCAAAGCCAATGGCATCCCGGCCAACTCTGGCTTGTCTTGGACTAATGTCAAAAAGAGATAAAATCATTATGAGAAAAAAAAAAAAGAGAGACATCAACAGAAACTGTACGATTAGTGTAAGCACTAACATCATGATGGACTACAAGGCTTTATTATACCACAAACACATTTATTATAGACAAACACAGTGGTACATAATTGTGAAATGGAGTAGCCATGATATATAATTAAACATCACTAATCAAACATCAAGGAGAAAAAAAAAACCTACAAAGTAACTTAATATTCCTGAATTAATGTCCAAAACAATTAATGTCCTTCACAAGTTAATTCAAATATATAAACTTCTAATATAGTCTGCATATACAGCTGTTCTGTAAACATGACTGTATATTTAAACAGATGGCCAGTCACCAGAAGCAGCCAGAGGGCCATGGTAACTCTGGAGGAGAATCAGTCCACAGGACAGGATTAATTTGCAATCTAAATCTGGACCGTCTGCAAAACAATGTATGGGATCTAATGATTACACACAAAAAAATCACTTATTTTTTTCCTCTTTACATTTGTGTGATATTTTGGTTCCATGTGGAGATTCCTCTGTAGCCACTGTTCTTCAGCCTCTCAATGCACCTCTGAATAAAATGAATGACTCATTATCAGGCCTTTGTAAAACTTGATGAATTCTAAGGTGATGATTCAGACATTTAATATAAAGGTTTTCAAAAAGACAGGCATTTACAAGTTGCAGCAGACTGGCTCTTGACATTGGAGTTAAAGCCCCGGCCTATTGCATCAAATCTCCTCATTTTAGAAGTTTGAAGTTGGATATAACAAAAAATAAAAACTTTTAAAAAAAGTAGTAATACTTGGTAAATGGATTATCTATGTTGGAAAAAGCAAAAGTCACATTATTATGATCATCCTCTGTTCTCTCATTAAAAATAGAGGATTTGCAATTGAGCTTGTGGAGAAGCTTCGCTAATCGGATGCAAGTTTGTTTTGTTTCATAAATGTTTCAGAGCATTGCAGATTCATCCCAGATAGGTCATGATGCTGCGTGAGTAACCTGACTTTCAGAGCTCAGATCCACAAAACAGTTTCATTTCTTCACCCTTAAATGGTTTTCCCTAATCTCTGAGAGCAAAAATACACAAAATAGAGAGAACAGCACCAATATATGCATCATTTCCAACAAACATGTACAAAAGAAAAAAAAAAAAAAAGATTTCCTCTTGGTATTTGTGATACCATTGCCTACATGCACTAAGACACACACACAGGAGAGAGGTGCATACTCTAGCTCTCAAATATCCAACAGTGTCACCCTGTGGCGCTCTGACTGATTCCAGATAGAGTTGATTTCGTGAATTACTAAAACTCTAGGATCTGAACAAACCTGATATCAATCCTTTCAGTTTTGAATTGAAAAAAAGACTGTTGGGAAGACTTTGCCTCTGCTGTTTGTAAATATCACCCAGAACTGCTTCCTGTGCATGAATGCATATAAACACAACTATGTTGGATCATTGCATGGATAAAGACGTTTGCACCAGGAGAAATTATGCTTAAAAAAATCATTACAATATGAAGCAAAGACCAGCTGTTTGGGCTGCGATAAGGACTGTGTTATTGCACTCCGATCCCAACTCCATAAGGCCATCTTTAAAATGTGAGAACCCACACAAACTCTGGAGGCACAACATCCTGCCTCCTAAGATGTGCAGGATACATCATTTATGAAAGATTAAATAATGCAACTGGGGTAAAAATGAATGTGGATCTTTTATCTTCCCCTTCTTTTAAGCTCTACACATCTAAAGTTATTTTCTGTAAGTCATTATAAGGCGAGACTGTCGCATTTTGGATAGGTAACCATCAAGACAGTCGAGAAACAAATGTACTTTTATGGAACTATGTTATGGAGTTTTTACACAAAGAAATTGTCTGATTACCTGAAATGAGACAAAATTACATTGGAGCAATCCACCATTAGAAATTACATGAACCTGATTTGTTTGTGAATCTTGTGTACCTTATGCAAACAGCTCCTTCTGACAATACTCTTAGGGGTGAGAGTTGCAGGAAGAATATGTGGTTATTTTGAACATTAATGGCATGTTTAAGAATAAAATTAGAAGCATAAAAGGTGGAAGAAACTTATTAGAAGGAAAATTATTTTATTTTTTTAATTTATTGTATCTCAGCGTTTTGTTTAGGCAGATATTCCTGAACAAGGTCAAAGATTTTAAAAAGGATGAAGCTGAAACAATTCAAGAGTCCTATATTATTGCAGAACATTATGGGATAAAAACTGTTGGGATTTTTTTGTAAAGCTAATATAATGCATCCAATAAATCTACAGTTGCAATGCTAACTGGGTTCAATTGCAAATATATCCCTGATCCATATTTTGTCAGACTTAAAGGTATTTGTAGATTTTCAATTATGCAGAGTGCAACAGTTCTGTAACTGGGTTGTTTATGAATAAAAGCATTGTTGTATTTGATAAAAAATATTTCACTCTTTAGGCAATAAAAGGTTCCTTCTAGAAAATAGGAAAGTAGAAAACTACAGAAATTTTCTACAGAAAGTAGAAAATAGGTTTATTGTAACTTATGTTCTTGGAGAGAAAGAAAGTTTTATCTTTTATAACTGTACAAGTTGAACTTTGGAAATCAGTCACAAATTTCTAATCATTTTTTTTTTTTTTTTTGCTTATGGACATTACTTTCTAGCAACCAGAGTAAGATTAGACTAATACACAGCTCTACTCACTTCCATAGGGGTTAGCTGAGCGCCCATAGATGTGACTGTAGGTCTCCTCTGTGATCCCATCATATGGCTCTTCCTCAAACTCCTCGTCATCATTCTGGTAAGATGTGGGGCTGTCTGTGGTAGGAAGGCTTGACTCTCCTGGGCTGGACCTTTCTGCATTAGTTCCTCCACCTGCTCCATTCCCTGCTCCACCCCCTGTTGTTCCTTGTAGGTGGAAAGCAGGAATACCAGGAACTTGCCCTCCAGCTGCTGTGTAGAAGGCCCTAGCCAGACGACTCCCCAGCTCTGAGGTTGAAATCTTGTTTTGCGCTGAGGGTGTGGAAATTGGTGTTGGGTCACCTACTTCTATTTTAATTTTACGCTGCGGCAATAGAAGGGACGGCGTAGACCAGCTTTGGGTTCCCAAAACGCCAGCCACCGACAGGCTGATGCCGTTATTAAGTGGACTCTGAGGCTCTGATCCCGCTTCTTCTAGGGAGCCTGCTGTTTGTGAGTCACAGTGAGGTGAGTTTGCCTTGAACATTAGGTCCATGCCTCTTTCAACTATGTGCTGAATCTGGAGGTAGCCAGCTGTGTACATGACAACCAGCTGTTCGCTTGCTGCCATGGTTAGCTTCCCTGTGTAGCAGAATGTAAGGATCTGCTCAAAGCAAGCAGGTGTGACTGAGGAAGGCAGCTCAAACTGGGTCTTGGTTGAGCTGCTGAAAAGGTCACGAAAGTAGAGGCTGCTGGCTGCCAAAACGGCCCGATGGGCTTTAAAAGCTTGACCTAGTTTATACAGAAAGAGAGAAGTTTAAAAACATTTGTGGAAGATTTAGTAACTAAAAAAAAAGAAAGAATCTCCAACTTCTCACCTTTGACGAGTATGGATACGTCACAGTGATGTCCCAGCAGTCGCTGCTCATTGAGGGAGCCCAGAACCGTGGCTCCAAAATTCGGGATCTCCACATGGAGCAGCTGGGACATGTTGGCCGGAGGGGAAGAGGAAGATGGGCTTTCAGACTTTCACTCTTCCACCTAAAAAGACATCCGTAAAATCAAAACAAGCTAAACAAAAAACAAAAAAATGTTTGCTGGACATTTTTTTCTCTAAAAAATAAAAATAGAATGTTTAGAACAGGAATAGATTTGCTAGAGAGAGAGAGAGAGAAAGCCACTTCTGAGAGGAAGCAAAGACTGAACACTGAGATGAAATTAAGTGAGAAAATGAATACAGTTGAGGGAGAAGTGAGAGGAGTGTGAAAGATAGATGGATATGCGAAGACAGAGGGTGAAAGATTGAGACAGGAGAGGAGGAGGAGGAGCCAAGTCACTCCACAGGACAAAAAACATAAAAAATACAACGCCATGCCTACTGAAACCTCTTAAGGCTATGTTGTTTGACATGACTTTTAATTCCTGGAAACCTGAAGCTCATTCCACGTATCGCTTGTCATGCATGAACAGCAGTTATCCTGCAGCTTGGACTTTGATAGCCTTGACAATAACTTTTTTTTTTCCTCAGCAACAAAACCCACTGAGTACAGACAGATTTTTATGTCATAGTTCATAGATTCTCCTCCGTTTTGCTGATGCTACACCTTTGTCAGCATTCGCTCTCCTTACCTCTCAGATAGACAGATTCTTTATTTTCACATAAATTCGAGACACTTCCTTCTCCAGGAATTCTTGCACCTTCATTACTTCCATGAACCTTGTATCATTGTTTTCTTCTCTCCACCTACCCCCACACACATACATATAAGCAGTAGTTTCATTATTGAGCAATGCTGCAGAGCAGTTTCCAGGAATACAAACTGAAAAAATGTCACCGCCTCTTTAACACACAAACACACAAAGCCTCTCTCTCTCTCACTCTCTTGCTCACTCACTCTCTCCCACTTCATGAACTCCATACAGAAACGCATGCACTCTGGCTTACTTACATAAAAGTGTTCATGCATTCAGAGATACACAGGCACAGGCAATGTAGGCTGCATAAGGATATTAGTTTGTAACCTGGCACCTAAGCACTCACCTGGAGGAAACCAGCACATAACTTTTCCGCTACTAACACGCAGAAATATTGCTCACTGTTAGCCCAGATAGTTCTACGTCTTCTGTTTTAAGCACAGTCAGGAGCAGGACAGATGAGGAGTAGTTACAGACAGTAAGGAGAGCACTCTGTTTCCCCTCCGTCTGGCCGGCTCCCGCTTTCTCCTAAAGTGTCTCTCACAAAAAAGCTTCTCTGACTTTTCCTCTTCCTACCTCCTATCTTTACATCCTCCAAGACCCCATTCTCTCTGCTCACAGTATGCCTGAGCGCCGTCTGAATGCCTCCTTATCATCATCTCTCCCTGCTTTCTACTCTCCAAGGGCTGAATTCAACAAGTGCTGCTGTACAGAGGGAAGAGAGGAGCTAGAGAATATAGAGGAGATAGAGCGAGAGAGAAGAGCAGGGCGAATCAATGATGAAAGGAGTGGGAGGCTGGGTCGGTGAGTGTGTGTGCATGTGTCTGCGCGCGTGTGTCTGATCAATGCAGTATCTATACGTCGCAGGGAGTGGGAGGGAGAGAAAAACACAGGCTACAGTTACAGACAGAGACGGCGACTGGGCAGGGAGAAAGTCCGAGGGAGGGAGGGGAGAGTTGAGACAGAAAGTCATTTGAGGACAGTACGAGCAGGGAAAGACAATTAGATTGAAGCAACTTCTGCCACATGCCCCTCGACACAGATGTCTATATGGTATGACAGAGGAGAGGGAGGGGAATGACTCAGACAAAAGAGAAATGAGAGAAGCCTGCAGAGGTTGTAAGCGCTGTTAATTAATTAGACACGAAATAGTGAAACTTCTGAAATGCCGGTTTGACGCAAGTCTGGAGAGAATGCATCATTCCTTCGCAAAGCCAGGCATTACTAAACTGGAGGGCTTGAAAAGTTTGCAGAGAGGTGTTTTCCACTTACTGAGACAATAGCAGGGTCCACACACAAAAAAAGATTTTTACTTTTCAGCAAGTGTCGTGTATGTTCTCTGAATCATGCCAGGACATCTCTTGCCAAAACACCCACACACAACACCAGCAAAGCACTGTCTCCACACGAGCCCATTTTTTTCACATGAATTGATAAATTAAATGATTAATTTACACCTCCGCTTTGGTAGCTCTGCTTATTTAGGTGACATTTCTCTGCTTCTGTTGCTTTTTTTTGCCAGCACAGGAAAAAAAGCTCCTCCATAGATGTCGCTTGACGTGCATGAGAAGAGAGGAGACGGATGTTGCAGCCCATGACAGGACAACGGCTACAAGAAGCGGAGCAGCTACTAGAGAGGATGCGTACCACAAAAATATGTGTGGGAGGTGAAAAACAAAATGCAAAGATGCTGTGATGGATGAGTAAGAAATTAATTGTTGTATTTGTGTAGACACAGACTGATGAAAGTTTTCAAACCTTTATAAAACAATTTCGTATAATGCAACAATAAGTCTAGCTTTTATGGGATTTTAATGTGATAGACCAGAGAAGTAATGTATAATTTCTAAGTCAAAGGAATAGGACACATTTCCTGCCAATACCTTGTATAACCAGTGGTCTAAGCAGTGGTCTCATAGATAAAACATTGTGTAGGATCTATACTAAATGTCTATATTCCCAAAAGCCAGATATGGAGTAGGTGATTATTTTTTTCCTAAATAAAATAAGGTATCATGTTGGTAAGAGCTAATTGCCAGAAACCCCCAAGCAGTTAACACCTGTAATTGCACAGGGATTTCATGGTTCCCACACGTCAGTCTCTCAATGCTTGAGGCGTCCACATGGCCAAATTACATTGTTTTAGCTTCCATAGTCCACCAAACAGTGTCTACAGACAGAATATCTACACATTGCACCTACTGGTGTGTGTTTGCAAGCATAAACTTCTAGAAATGTCTTCTGATGAAGCCTATAAGTATAGATAGTAAACAGAGATAGTAAATCTCTTGATAATTACGGTCACTCTTTGATTGCACCAAGAGGCTATGCAAAAAGTTAGAATCTGAAGTGTTTTCTATTTCCTCATGAAGTGTGGTGTTGTAAGCCAGTGACTTCCTTACACATAAGGCAAGTTAAATTCAAGACTTTTTAATGCCATTAGAAATAAAAAGTTCAGTCCAACTTCACAACTTCTAAACAAAAAAAAAAGCTGGTTGAGACAAATTCACCAAAATTTTTATTTTAAACTCTGACACAAAATAACTCAGAATGCTTGAAAATTACACAGTAAAATGATTACCAATATAGAAATGTTAGACATCGTTGGAAAGCTTAGAGTCTCCACAATATAACCACCTAGTTCATTTTATGGACATAGTGAACACCAAAGCACAATTATAGCAGCATGTCAAAATGTAGCATGACAAAGCAGCCACAACAAGCAAGCATGTCTTTATTGCTGCTGTTCAAAAAAGAGTTTATTTTCGAGAATAAAAAAACTCAACTTTGAGTCATGTTTGAACTGATGCAGCTTGGGCTTGATGCAGCTTGGATGTTTTACTCACCCAATTTTAATGTATATATTCAGGAACTAGAAAGTGTTAGCTTTCAAATAACGTATCACACATGTAATTTGGGCTTACAGTTCCTCAGTTATTTGCTTTTCCATTTGGGTATGCAAAATAGGCGAATTTTCCCAGAGATGAAATGGATATTAAGAGGTTAAAATAAATCATTACTATCTGATATCTGGTCCTTCAAATTAAGAAAAAAAAAACACTTTCCATATAGGAAGAAAGCTAAAAAACACACAAATAACAGATATATTTTTAACAACTACTGAACTGAATTCACAAACTTTGTTCTGTTCCCTTCTCAAAGTCCACAATACTTCTGCTTTCATTGTAGGCCCTCCGTCTAACATCATCCAGAGAGTTAGTGCTATTGGCGCAATAAATACACCGTGCCTCATATACATTCCCTACTTTTAGCTATGTAGAAAACTCTTGGCTGGATAGCCAGAATTTTAAATCTACACTTCTACATGTTGACCAGATAAGAAGTTAGTGGTGCATAACCCCAACGTCTGGCCACAGCATCCTTTTTTATTGGTTCCACTATCGGGATTGAACTAATAATGGTTACAGTAAACTATTCGGGTAAAAGTAAAATAATTATTGTCAATTATTTTCATGATAGATATGGATTACAAAAATAAAATCCTATTCATGATATGGTAATAATTTTAATGCCTTCGATTTTTATTAAGGAATTCAATGCCTCCTAAGAGTTTTTAAGGATCTGTGGGAACCCTGTAGTGGTTTGTGCTGTACACGTCCCCCTGGAGCTGGCCAGAATATTTGGTACAAGGGAAAATCTATAGTGTAAAACAGCATCAATGTTGCGTCCCCGCATCACATTTTCCATGCTGAACCTACGTGTGTAAAGTATAACCGAAGCTTAATGCTGTACCCAGTTCAGCATATGGATCTAAGAACAATGCTTCGTGATCTAAATCCACATAATACCAAGTACTTATCATGGGCCAGGAAATCTAAGTGAACCCTTAGAACATGTTCTGTGTTAATTCTACTACTTTCCAAGGTCCTCCAGCCGTGAAAATGCATCCATAACATAGTATAACGCAGCAATGTCACAAGGGATAAATACCAGATGAGGTGTCTATTGTCAGAAATGAGTGGACAATGCAAAGGCGTGAACCGTCAGAGGTTTGCTTCAACAAGGTCCATTGGACACCTTGAAGGCCATTGTCTCTCTTATACCATGGTAATTTATGAAAAAATATATTAAATAAATCATTATGCATTGTCAAAGTAACAGAATCTGCCTACAGAACCTTTGCATAAGTCTCTTATAAGACTTCTGAACAGACACCCAACAAATAATCAGAATCAAGTATTCACAAAGAACATGGTATTTTTTAAATTTAAATATTTACAGTGACCAGTGTGATAACCTCATACCTTGTCATAATGTAAGTGTTAATTTGTGGTGCACATCACCCTGGTCATCACCAGCGAAAGGATGTGATGGTGAGGAAGCCTTTAAATATTGTGCAGAGTTTAAGATAGCTCATAGAGCTTTTTTTGTATACAGTAAAATATCCTCATGTATAGTTATAACTTACCAACACCAGCATATATATCGTACTGCTTCTGCTTATTTAAAAGTAGGTTACATTGCTCGCCCATGCAGCACTTTCAACTAACCTTGTGAGTCCTAGAGCACCCCCTATCCTGGGACTATATTGTCCCTTCAGGACTAACTAGGTCCACCCCAGGGTCTCCTCCCAGTGGAACATGACTGAAAAAAAGAAAGAAAAAACTGCCATAGGAAGGGACCCTGTAGGTATCCAGATAAGAAATAGCTAAATGCCTAAACTTTCTTTAAAAACAGAGGAGCAGTGGTTTTACACAAAGCTCTGTATAGATTACTGAGTTACTCAGCTAGTCTCTAGAGCCTAGCGTAGACCCCTAAAAAATAAATTCCTTTTATCCAGTTGTGTTTGGGATCTGATTTGTTCGGGAGCCATACCTCATGAACATAAGTGAGATTTTGTGGACTGACTCTTAAATCCTGAGCCTGCCTTTGTTACTTGGCAATCTCTCCCAACGATATGCTCAAGAACTGTCCCCATTAAGGAAGAGTCACAGCGCTTGTGTTCCAGTCTGCTAGCTTCGATGTGATTATTTTATTCTTCCTGTCACACTGGCTGCAGTGCATATACAAAAGCTCCCGCAAGGCATAAGGGGAGCAGAACCTGATGTCTGCATGAATATGCCGCATTTTCAACCTCTGTCCTGGTGTCCCAAAACCTAAAAAAATCTCCTATATTTGACTTGGTCAGATTATGAAAAGTCAAAAAATATCTAAACTCAACAACCGTTTATAAATATAAAAAAGCAGAGATCCATGCCGCGCTGGCTGCCAGTCAAAATACAAAGAAGCACCCCACTTCATGACCCACCTCCACACCATTTTCTTAAAATAGAACAGCTAAAAGATTTCAATAAAGATCGCATAAAAAAAAAAAAAAAAAAACGCAGTTACAACAAACTGTGAAACAGTTTACTACTGGTTGGGACTGGTTTTTCTAAAGTTTGCCAAGGATTTTTTTCCATCTTCAATTTGATAAAGGGGAAGCACGATAAGCTCTGAAATTGAAATGTTTTATTGATTGTCCAAGCCTTCACCACTTTCTATATACACACCGTTTTCAAACAAGGCTAACCTGGCAGGAATACCTTTAAATTTACAGATTTTACTTTGTATTTTTCTCTCTCTCTTCCCGTCATGACATTGCCACTGATTTGCTACGTAGATTTGATCAAAATAGACTAGGGTCAATCTTAGTAGGAGCTAGACTAGCGCAGTTGCAGAGGATCGTGTGTAGTCTGACAAGCCACATGCATTTTTAATGAGCTCTAAGTGCCACAACCTCATAGAATCCGATTTTCCATATGATTGGACACTAAAATGTGTCTGGTGTGTTCAGGCCTTCACTGCAGATTAGTAAATGCCCAATCAATCAATCCATCCATCCATCCATCCATCCATCCATCCATCCATCCATCCATCCAT